TTAATAAAATGTTTGAGTTTTTAATTTAATAGTAAATGGCATTTGAATTTTTAATATAACTTAATTCGTTTATTAGATATAATCATTTAAAGTTTCAAATTTTTGAATTAATATATAGGTATAATACACAAGGGATTACAAATACAGGTAGCTAATTGGTTTTTTATAACATCGATATTAGCAGGTACACAGCATTGTTATTATCAATTGTAGTAAGGCACATTGTTATGAGTTTATAAATACACTAACTGACAATACAGAAAGTATATCTATTGATAATCATAATTGATAATAAACAATCCGTGACTGAGACAGCAATGTCATAAAAATCCAATTAGCTACCTGTATTTACAATCCCATGTGTATTATACATGTATATTAACTCAAAATTTTGAAACTTTAAATGTTTATATCTAATAAGCTAATAAAGTTATATTAAAAATTCAAATGCCATTTACTATTAAATTAAAAACTCAAACATTTTATTAAATTAAAAATATGTGTTACCATTTAAAAAAACAAAGTTGACCCCCCTCCAAGGCATAAGGGATGAACTTAAAAAGTATTACATAGTTAAAAATTCAAGAATAATGTGTAACTAAAGATAATAAAAAAAAAAAATGTTTAAATTATTATTATTCTGCAAGTAATTGAGTGGGTTATGATAAAAAAATCACCCTGTATACTATCTTACATTATCTTTTCTTTAATATCAATTTGAAACTTTTGGTCGTAAAATAAATTATTGATACATTTTTTTTTTACTTTTGAACTCGAATAATGTTAAAAACGTACAAGATATCAATAGAGACTTTTTAGACATAATTAGAACAATGTTATAAAGGTGTGCACCAAAATTCAGCTTTATAGGATATTTTAACAGCTAAAGTTCATACTTGACTGAGCATTATTATTAAAATTATTTGTTAGTAATCATCATTACATTTATCATATTAAATATTTTTTTTGAGTCAAATGATAATGTTATCATGTTATTGTATAAGTATTAGTTAACAAGTTAAAATTTATTTTCTTAAATCAATGTTTAAATTATTGTTATATAAGCTAACACTTAACATTAACAAAAAATTTAACTAATACTCATTTTGTATTATATTCTTAATCCAATGTTTAGTACTATTCGTAATAGTTAATACAGATAATAATATAATAGATAATACAGATTTTTTAATGATTGATTTAATCAGTTACTTTGATGGGTGTATGGTATTATACAAAAAATATTATATTTGGAATAGCTATTGGACATACTTTTGTTGATACATTTGGTTCAATAGCTAGAGTTGATGGCATTTCTATGCAACCTACGTTTAATCCAAACCGTTGTGTAGACCATGTTTTTCTGTTTCGTCTACCAGTAAAATTTGATAAAATTAAACCAGGTGATGTTATTGTTGCTATCTCTCCTCGTAATCCTAAAGAAACAATTATAAAGCGTGTGATTGGAACTGAAGGAGACACTGTTACTTCTAAGAGAAATGAGTATAGCCCTATTATTAAAATAACAATTCCAAAAGGACATATTTGGATTGAAGGAGACAACAAAGGTCACACATACGATTCTACTACTTTTGGCCCTATCTCTAAAGGGCTTGTAGTCGCTAAAGTACCAGTTATTATTTGGCCCCCTAATAGATGGCAGTGGGTTAAACCAGAAGTAAACAATTAAGGTAATACTTATAATGTATAATAGTTATAATATTAGTGGCTGTTGTATCTAGGTATAACTGTGAAATAGAATTGAAAACATTTTTTTATACATAGTTTTGTTATTTTCTAAAATATAAAAACTATGATTTTTTTGTGATTAAAAGGCTTTGAACAAAAACAAAACAACTCCATTTTTTTTTAAATTATTTTAATAGTTCTAAATTAAGATTAAAACGGTAATTACATTTATACAAGAAAAAAGTAGTTGCAATAAATAATTTGAAAAATATAGCATTTTTTAAATTTACAGGTTAATGTAAAAGTTAAAAACATTTAGTTTTTTTGCCTATTGAAAATTTTTGAAAAATGGAGCTATCATACTGAATGAAGTTCATCAATTAACCAAAAAATTTTCATCCTAAGTAAATCATGTAAAAGTTCCATAATTAACAATAGTTGAATATTTTTTATTAATATAGAATTAAGCTATTTATATGAAATAAATATGAGTAAAATAGATTTTAAACATAACAATTTTATTATACAGTGGTCATATTATTTTCAACTAAATACATTAATAAATATATCTAATTAAAATTGGGTTACTGGGATAAAAATAATTTAAATTTAAAACTAAAAAAAAGTTTTAAATATTTAACTTAAAAAGTAAAAAAAAATTACTAAAAAATAGCAGATACATATTTTGGAAACAATGTTACCATTATTAACATTTAACACTTACCGACATATAATTATATATTATATAATCATACTGGCATTTTATTATGTTATCTAAATTTAATAAATTATTCATATCTATTTTAGAAATTTTTCGATATTAAGTCCTCTAGTTATCACAGAAATCAAGATGAAAGTTGCATCATTTGTTCATCATTGTGAATTTGATGTTCCTGGCAATGTATATAAAAATGCCATTGTATTAGGAGATGTTGACAATGATAATGATATAGAATTGGTTGTTGGTAACATGGAAGGTGATTTATATATATTTAAAGGTCAAAGGCAGATCCAAAAAATTTCAGGACTAGGAATTATTACTGCTATTGGAATTGGAGATTTGATGAATTGTGGCAGTAACACATTAATTGTAATATGTGGTGATGGGTGGTGCCATATTTATTTATGTTTAAAATTGTGTAAATCAGAATTAGCTGATGAGTGCATTGTCAAACTTGAACCAGTTCATGTCCAAAGGATTCCAGCAAATACCAAAGTAAAGTTTGTTTTGATAAAAATATAGTAGTTAAACTTTAATAAATCAATTACTTTTTTTACAGGAAGTGTTATTAGGAGATATTGATGGAGATGGCTTTATTGAACTTATTGTTGGCTTAACAGATAGAGTTATCCGATCTTATCGATGGGCTCAAAGTGCTGCTGCTGGTCGTCTTGTACCTTTACATAAGTGGGAGTGTGCTAATCAAATTGGATCTATGATTCTCAATAAAGATAATGAAGGAAGACCTTGCTTACTTGTTTCTCAACCGGGGGCTACTGCTATGCGTATATATTGTCCAACTACACATTCAGATTTAATGTAAATAAAAAGATAAAAATCAACTAAATTTATTTTAATGTATATTTAAACACAGTGAATCTACCATAAAATTAAAAAATTTTCAATCAATGGAACTTCGCAATCCTTCAATATCTTCTGAAATAATTGGGAATCTCAAGTTAGATGGTTGCAGTGAGTGTGATCCTAATAATTTAACAGGTAGTTTTTGTGCAATTTCAACATTAGATGGTATATTAATGTTAGTAAAAGAACAAGTAGTTTTATGGTAAGAGTGAGAAACATAAAAAACATTCAAGTGTTAATATAAATTTAGTTAAGTTTTATTTTATGAATAGGTCAAAAAAAATTGATCAACAATTATTTTGCCTTAAAAAGTTGTCTCTGACAGATGATGGACCTGATTATTTGATCTCTTGTTCATGGAATGGTGATACATATATAGTAGATCAGCAAGGTCACATTGTAATGTTTCAATTAGGAGAATCTGTAACAGCATTTTGTTCAGGAATGTATACTATAAAATCAAATGAAAAACCAGTACCTTGTTTTGTTTTTATAACATTTAATCATAAAGTAAAACTTATTATACCAGTGTCATATTTTAAAATTAATGTCTTTTCAAAATCTTAGGTATTCATCTATTATGATATAAAATTGCCAAAATCAAATTTACAAAGTTTATCAAGATATATTGAAAATGATAGTGAACTTTTAAAATATATGGAAAAAATGAATATTTACTCTAGTACTGACCGTAAAAAATTAATTGATGCATGTCTTTATAAATGTATGTAACATAGATATCGCCTAAAAATTGAACTTTATTTTTAAATTTTATTATCTTCCTAATTTATATAATTTTATCTATTTCAGATTTTATAAATTGTTCTAAAAATGATTCTGAAAAAAATGATAAAATATGAGTACATGAGTATTTTCAACTTTATTTAGCAATTAAAAATCATTAAATTTTCATTGAAATTTAAAAATATACATTTATTTTTAGTTAGTATTTATTTTACTTTAATAATGAATTATTATTTAGACAAATTTATCCATCATATGTTGTAGTTAAGCTTTTTTTCAAATTTATAAAAACAAAATTGATTTTACCTAAAAATTCTTTTCTTTTTTGTTTTTTAATTATGTTTTGGTTTATTAAATATCTTTTTTAATTTTTCATCATAATAAAATGAGATAAAACATAAACTCTGCTTAATACCTATATTTTGTAAAATAATAAGCAGAGCTTATAAGTATATGCTCCAAAAAACTAAAGAAAAGCATGCCATTATGCACTAAAAAAAAACATATGATGGTCAAGTTATTTTGAGGGCTCATTTAAATTTTCCCTCTTAAATAATAATTGTTATGTAATAATGTTTATAATTTCATTCAATTTCTGGGGGATTCATTTTTAAACTGGGGAGGTACTTTGATTTAAAAACCTCTTACATGACACCTATGACTAAAAATCTAAAATAAACATATTTCGAAATAACAATCAATATTAATTTATATAAGTATTTAAAATCCATAATTTATTTTTTCATTATAAACTATAATATTTAAGTAAACAATAAAAAATACATTTTTTTTATACAATAAAAATCAAAAAACTTAATTAAAACATTTTGTAAATTTTAATAATCTTCAAAATATAATTCTTATTCTGATTTTTTATTTTTAACAATAATAATTAGACTATTAAAATGTAAATGCTTTAATTTTGAAATATTTGAATAAATTTAGTTCCTATTAAAGTATAATTTTTTTTTTTTAAACTATAGTTTAGAATAATGATCACTTTTCGTATTGATTTTGAAACTGTGATAAGTTTTATTTTAGCAAATCTAGTTTTTTAAATAATTACTAATTAGTAAAAAACAAATAAGTACACATAACATTTTTTTTTACAAATTATTATTGGTTTTGAGTTTTAATATGTTCAGAAAAATCTGTGTGAAATTTATATCCAAATTATCATGTTTAATATAGGCGAAACTATGGATTACCTTATGTTGCCAAGTTTAAAAAAATTATAGTAATATTATATTATTAATATCTAGTTCCACTTACGATGTTCAACCAATTTTTGGGGGGCTTTAAAATGTATAATAAAAAAAGTTGAAATTTTTACAATAACTTTTATTATGGAACACAGGTAGAGTATATGTGGATCAGTACGAGCTGTATCCTCCTCACTTCATACTCACTCTATGTATTAAAAAACTTATAATGAATGAGTGTTTATCCTAAATTTGTTATTGATCACCATTAATCATTTTTTCTGAGTAAAGAACTAAAATATGATTATTTTGAAATAAATAAAAGTTTATTAAGTTATTTCTTATTATTAGTAGTAAACAATAAAAAATATGATTTTAATATAGTCCAAAAATTATTTTTAACAAAATGATAATTGAATCAAAAGTTATAAGCGTTTTCAATTAAGTCTGAGAAATGTAAAAAAAAAACATTTAATAAAATATTTTAATATGAAATAGAAATTTTTTCTCACAAGGGTAGACTACAGTGATGGAGTCCTTGATATTTATTGATGTTATTCAATTTAAATGATATAAAAATCAAACGAACTTAAATTTTTTTTTCCACATAAAAAAGAATTAAGAAAAAAATGCAAAAAGTTCTTATAGACTTTTTGTGTTTTTTACTTTTTCTCCTTATAGAATGTTTTAAAAAAGAATAACGTTCCACTAACTTGTCTTCTACGATTATTCAGATGTGAATGTCGATAGTCATGCAATTTTTGGATGTGTTCAATTTTATACTCATCGAAATTGATGTGTATACATTAATAATTTATAAATTATTAATATATACGCATAAATTTAAAATGTCACTTAATGTTGCCATGATAATTTTTCGAAGTCCAAATAAAAATGACTACACAGAATATGCTCAAGAATTCTTGAACTATATAGTTAAATCATTTGATAAAATGTATGGTAACTTTAGTGTGTCATAATGTTCATGGACTTTTACATTTGACTGATGATAATAACGATTTTGGGCCCCTTAATGAATGCAGCTGTATTCCATTCGAAAATTTTATGAAAAAATTTAAGTCAGTATTCAAAAAATGTAAAAAACCATTGCAGCAATTTATCCGTAGATATGAAGAGCAATACATTAATGTAAAGAAAAATTTTGGTAGCCCTAATTAAAGTGATAAATTTTATGAAAAAAGAAAATTACATTGCCAGCGTCCCATAATTAATTGGTCCCCAATATCATTAGATATATTGCAGTAGTTTTAAGCTTAATTCATTAGTCGAGAGAGATAATTATGTATTAACCAACTGCGGTAAAATTATTAAAAGTTTTGTGTGTCAATAGATTAGTAATAAATTAATCTCGGTCATTGTTGGTAAATATTTTATTTATATAATTCCAGCTTATTCTGAACCTCTTTTGTCTACTCTACTGGGTATTTATAAAATAAATAATATTTCTAAAAATTATATTGTAGTTAAGGAAAATAAAATAAAATGTAAAATGATGGTTATTACTGTAGCTGACAAAACAATTGCTATTCCAGTAAGTCATACAATCATGTAATTATGTAGTATAATGTACAACACAATGGACTTTTATATAATGTGAATAAATTATTTAAATTAATATATTATATTTATTTTGTTTTTTCAGGTATAATTTTTTATTTACTACACATTTATTTATATTAATATATATAATTGTGTATTATTTGTGTAAATAAAAGCAATTAAAAATATTTTTCTAAGTATATAATGATTATTATATGATATATATTATTATAATAATCATATTATAAGATTTTATAATCAGATGATGATCGTAAATCAGTTAGTGTAAATAATTTATGTGTTATAAAATTCATCTTAAAAATTATAGTTAGTCTAATTATGTGAACAATCGTTCATTTCACACAAGATAACAATGTCGAAGCAGTTCCAAGTACTTGGTTCAACAAAGTTACAAATGAATGTGCTTGACCTAATAAAACAATTCTACAAAAGCAATACAAAATCATACACTACCTAATAATTCAAATTTTTACTATTTAAAGGCTAGACAAATTAACTCTGCTACTTATGGTATAACAAAATTTCTAAGTTAGTAGAATAGTTTACTTCATTTTTTCTGCCATAATATCTTTTTTTAATATATTAATTTTTCACAGACTTATGAACAAGCAAAAAACAAAAGAAAATATAGCACAGGAATCTTCAGATTTATCAGAATTTGAAAATATAAAAGAAATGAGAAAAAACAGAGCTAGAAAAGAATTTTCTTTTCTTAAAAAGGCTCAAGATAAACCAAAAATAAAATCTCACCTTCAACCTCTTAACGCTTTTAGTAAATCCTACATGGTTGTTGCTAAAAATTCGAGTAATCATATAGAATATAATCATGTTTCTGATGATAACAGTTTAAAATACTCAGATTTTAAATTAAGAAGTAACATAATAAATTCTTATTACTACTTTTTATATTATATGTATTTATTTTTATTTAGACCCTTCCAAACTCCACCTTGAAATCTATAAATTTTTCTATAAAAACAGAGCTTGTTACAGACAAGTTGAATTATAATTCAATAGCTTCTAATAAATTATAACGAAGATTATTTTAACTATCTAAAAATGCCTCAACTCCACTTTACTAAATCCCTATTATGCTTTCCTTTGTTTTTTTTTTTATTAAATATTGCATATATTAACAAAAATAATATTTTTGTTTTTCTAGATAAGAAATTATCATTGCTCACAACTTCTAAAAGTCATGGAGAATCTGTGAGGCGTATTATGACAAAAATGTTTCATTATTCAGTATTAGTTCATTTTTCAACTTATGGTTTTTAAAAGAAACAAAGATTTTCTGATTTACTATCACATCATCTGATCAAAGGTATTAATACAACTGATAAACATGTTATTCAAAACTTTATTTTAAAGTCTATTGTAAAAGGAGCAATGCAACTAATAATTACTCTTAAAGTTAAACTAAACTAAAAAGAGAAAAATTAACATTTTTTTTATAAAAAATTTTATGAAAAATAAAAATAAATGAATTATTATTTACTCATCATTTAATAAATTTTAATAATGCTAATGTTTTGTAATTATTCAAGTTTAACACATCTATCTATAAATCAATGACTTTTCAGATATAATAAGGACTAATGTCAAGTATGGAATGATTCTTGAAAAAGAAATTGACTGTGAAATTAGTGTGTGGTTAGCTCATTCCGAACTATAATTAGTGAAGTATAGAATATACATGAATGTGTAAATAATTGAATTATTTGCATTATAAAATAAAGAATTATTTGTTTCATTTTTAACAGTTTAAACCAACTTAATTTTTTTTTTTTTTTAATTATGAATATGTTATGATTTTAATTTAAATTGTTTAAAACAAATTATTTTAATGTTATTGTTTTAATAAATATGTTAAAATGTAATTTTAACCGTTTAAATCCAATGATTATATTATGCTTTTAAATTTATTACTATTATTTCTATTTAAGTTATCTATTACGATAAACATGCAAAAAAATATTGAGCTTTTATGATAAATTTACAATAAATAGTAATTATAAAATTTCCTGATTGCATATTAATCTTAACAATACAATTTTTTTAATTCACATAGAATTTTCTATTTAATTATGTCAATTTTAAACTTGCCAATTGAGCTAAAAGTTATGGTAAAATAAATTTTTTTTTTTTATTATAAACATTTACTGTTTGTTACTATAAAAAAATGCACTGGAATATAAGGAACTTTCATCAGAAGCAAAAATATACTTTTCTAAATCAACTTTTCGCGTTGTTTTCAAATCTGCAATTAGACTTTTTCTATCACTTCTAATTTTTTATATTATTACTAATTACATATAAAATAATAATAAAAAGAAAAAATAAATTGTTTTCAAATTATTACTGATTTGATTATTAATATGTTAAAAATAATCAGTCCAAATTTTCATTTTTAATCTATTTTATTGGTTCTTTAAAGTTGATGAAAAATTTTTGATTAAGATTTATGAAAGTTTATAGTAAAAAAAATTGAATATATTACCATAACTTTTAGCTCAATTACAAGTTTAAAATTGACATCTAGGCCAGTCAACAAAGGAAAAATTGCGGAAAAAATTTCCAACCAAATTTTGTTTTTTTAAAAGTTGAATTAAAATATGTATAATGACATACTAATAGTCCTCAAGATTGGAATTGAGCTTTTTTTTTAAATCCTCGCAAAAGTTCAAAAATATGAGCTTTCTTAATTTTCTCAAAAAAAAATATTTAACTTACAAAAAAAAGTTTCGCACAAAAGTTGTTTAAAAGACAATTATAAATAAAAATATAATCTTATATTTTTTCATTTAAACAAATATTTTTCGAGTTACATTACATTTAATATGAGTAATAAAATTTATATTCCATTTTTTTCATTTTACGGTTACTTTTTATCATGTTATACTTACATTAGACACAATGTTATAAATGCATATGTGTGTATGTGTGAGTTTATTTATTTATTGTATCATTAAAGTGTAGTGTATATTGAGATACAACCGATAGAGTAGGTAATTGATTATATTGTTTTAAACCCAACTAAACGCTAAATTGTACATTCCCAAACAACAATAATATTATGTCAATTGCCACCGGAATTTCTGGTAATCTTTTTCTTTTTCTTTGCTATAATCCCAACTACTTGGAATCGGCCACCCTTATCCTAAGCTTCCAAATGACACGATCTACCACATATTCTACGCTTATGATTTTTAGTTTCACCTAAATTTAACGATGGATTTTTACAATTATAATCATATTTTATAATACGCTCAATTGAGTAAATCTTTTTAACAACTTTGTTTTGATTGGTTCATTTAGTTAAAGTAAATCATTAAAATTAATTAAGTTCTGAATATTACCATTGTAAAATCTTTTTAAACGCCAAAAGTTAATTAGAAATGATTACTATGATTTTTATTTAAGTGATCTATTACGATAAAAATGTAAAAAAATCTAACTTTTCTGATAAATGTACTGTAAATAGTAATTATAAAATTCCCTGATTGCATATTAATCTTAACAATTTAATTTTTTTCTATTTAATAATGTAAATTTCAAACTTGCAAGTTGAGCTAAATGTTATGGTAATAAATTCTTTTTTTTTTTTTTATTAAAACTTTCATTTTAAAGGACAAAAAAAAAGTAGGTTCAAAATGATTACTTTTATCATATTAAAAATCAAAATCAATAATAATTTAAAAACAATTCATTTTAAAAATTGTATAATATATAATTATAAGAATTACTAATCTGGGTTTAATTAAGGAAATAGAAGTTGATGTTGCTTTTGTAATTATCCATCAATTTCTTAGAATTAAACATTATCTACAGATTTGCATCGAAGCGTTTCTTATGATAGTGATTTTAATCACTGTCAGATATCATCTATACTTGTCCCATCTATGCCTCGTCCACACTGTGCCTCGACCCCACTGTGCTACCGTTTTTTTTTCNACGTCCCCACTATGCCGCGACCCCACTGTGCTGGGTTTTTTTTATTAGTTATTTTAGTTAAAGTAAATCATTAAAATTAATTTAGTTCATATTTCAATTGTAGAATCTTTTTAAACACCAAAAGTTACTAGGAAATTATTACTATTATTTCTATTTAAGTTATCTATTACGATAAAAATGCAAAAAAATATTGAGTTACTCTGATAAATTTACTATAANGATAAATATGCAAAAAAAATATTGAGCTTTTCTGATAAATTTACTATAAATAACTATTATAAAATTTCCTGAACGCATATTAATCTTAATAATACAATTTTTTTAATTCTCATAAAATTTTCTATTTAATAATGACAATTTCAAACTTGCAAATTGAGCTAAAAGTTAGGGTTGTTCATGCATTAGTGTACAAAATGTATATGTAAATAATCTTTGTTATCGTAAAATTCTCTCGCGTCTCTCATTATAAAATTTTCCCTTACCTTCTCGTGTGTTTGTCATTTGTTATTGTAAATAATTAATTTTAAGTGTTTCTGTTTATCGTTTTATCGGCAACTATTGCTTTTATAATTATTATGTGTATGATAAATTGTTTGTCATTACTTTACTTTTCTTTCGTTGATATTCGGCAACTGTAGCCCTCTGGTTCTTTTTTGATTGTACAAAATAAAATTAATTTTATTTGTTTTCTTAATTTTAAAAGCAATTTAATTATTGTAATAATATTATTTTTTTTTTAATCAAAGCCAAAAGTATTAAATTCTTGTTGGTGAACAAAAAATTGTTGATCTTTTGACGAAATAATAGCCTTCATCCGACAGGTAATTAACCACCTTAATGTATACCATTAATAGTTATTTGTCAAATTAATTAAACATAAAGTTAAAGTATAAACAAGGGTAATAAATTAATTTTTTTATTAAAAATTTTCACAAAAATCAACTTTAAAGAATTAAAAAAATAGGTTAAATATGTTATTTTCCTTATTCTTAATATATTAATAATCAAAATCAGTATTAATTTAAAACAATTTTTTTTTATTCTTAATTATATTTTTAAATATAAATACTTATTTTTTAATAATATTATAAATATTAAAACAGAAGTGATAGAAAAAGTTTAATTGCACATTTGAAAACATTGCAAAAAGTTGATTGAGAAATGTATATTTTTGTTTCTGATAAAACTACCTTGTAGTCCAGTGTATAAAATTTATAGCTTGGTTATAAATAACAAACATTTTTTATTGAAAAATATTGAATCAAGCCCTTTAAATTTTTATACGCGTTAAAAGTAAAGAAATATACTACTTTATTATTTTTATAATATCTCCGTAAAAATTACAATATTAAATTATTGAATTTCAATTTCACACTAAATTTAATTACTATAATTATTATTAGCTTCGATGCGAAGCTGAGAAGGTATTAATTTTACCATGATGTGTTTATTTTTTTTTTTTTTGTGTCTGTCACTACTTTTTCTCAGCTCTCACTGGACCGATTTCTTTTAACAATACGTCAAAAGATCACAAATTGTATCTAGTTGAAGACATTACCCTTAAAAATTTAAAAATTTTCCCTCGTTCCCCGCAAATGGGGGAAATATCCAAAAAAATTACAAATTTAAAAATTGACAAATTTTGTCATTTTTTTCACTTTTTTTTCTTAAAACTTCCATAACTTTTTCAAAAATCAACAAATCAACATAATTTTTTTTTAAACTAAAACCTTAGATATTTTCCTTTCATTTGATATAATTTTTTTGAANGTTAGATATCTACCTTTCATTTGATATCATTTTTTTGAAAATCTATCACTTAACCTGCACATTGGGGGGGATTTAAAATTGCAACTTTTTTACAAAAACTAACTCTTTCAACTTAATTTTTGAAAATGTTCCGGAAATACTGCGTCCTTTAAACATATATCAAATTAAAGCTTATTTTATGTACTATAAAATGAAAAAAAAAAATTTGTCCCGACACTTTATCTTCTGCATGTAAACGGTTGCCGTAGTTAAAAAAACACTATTTTTGTGTTAAAATTTTCGATTTTCGATTTTTAATTTTCAACTTAAAAATGCTATAACTTTTCGAAAAATGTATGTATCAGCACAATTTTTTTTTTCTAAATACATTATAAGTACATTTTTCATTTGACATACTTTATCTTAATCAGGGTATTAATAAGGAACTAGCAGATCATGCAGCTTTTGTAATTATCCACCAATTTCTTAGAATTAAACACTATCTACTGATTTGCATCGAAGCGTTTCTTATGATAGTGATTTTAATCACAGTCAGATTAAATCTATACTGGACTCAACTATGCAACGTCCCCACTATGCCGCGACTCCACTGTGCTGGGTTTTTTTATTTCAATTTTTTATTATTTTCCGAAAAAATTACCTTCTTTAAACTTATATTACATACAATGTAATCTCAGATAATAAAAGAAAAACTATCCGACATTATGATATTTGGTCTTTAAAGCAAAACGTTTTTATAACTTTTTTTTTTAAGTTTAAATGCTATCAAAATTCCAATAGAGTATACTATAGACAAATAATTTTTTTTTTTTATGTTTTTTCCTGAAAATTCAACGAGAAAGTACAGAAAGAAGTCACCCACGCACGTAAATTGATTTTCAACTCTAATTTTAATTAATTAAGAAATCAGCCTTCAAAACAAAAAAATTAACATTATTTCTAATTAAGCGAATAATTAAACAAACATTTAATATTTTAGTATACTCAAATTCTGATTATATATAATCAGAATTTGTAAAATTACAGATATTTGCATTGAAGGTTTTTTTTAACTTACAATATGTGATATTAGATTCATCGTATACTAAAAGAACGAAGCACTTCTGGAACTTTTTCAAAATTAAGTTGAAAAAGTTAACTTTTTATGCAAAACTATCTAATTTAAACCCTCTTATTTGAGCAGTAAAGGTTCAGATTTAAAAAAAAAAAAAAAAAAATCTTAATAAAAAGGATATAAAGTATTCATAAAAATATATTATTTTGATTCATCTGCTTTTCAAAATGATATAAAAGTTTTAATTAAAAAACCTTTTTTTTACTTAAATATTAATTTAAAAATTATGTGAGTTAGAAGTTACGAAATGCTACAAGTTATGCTATTTGATTGTACAAGTTTAAATAATTTTTCTGACATTAAGATAAAACGTATTGGAAAAATCAACCAATTCATATAATTACAACTATGTAATTATACTGTAGATTACAACTAGTATAAAATTTTACTGGCTACTTAATTAATTCTCCTCTAATTGTTTGATATAATATATAATATTCTAGCACTTTTTTTAGGTGAAAGGGGATATTAAGCCGCCCAAATTGCATCAATTTATTTTAACATTTTGAATTTCCTAATAAACACTTGGATGTGTTCATCAAATTTTTTGTAAAAACTTAATGGAAAGTTAAAAATACAGAGAATAATAAAAACTTATTAGTGATTTATGGTTCTAACAATTAATAACAAAGCGAACCGTTAAAAGCGCTGTAAATCCGAGTTGACTAGACCTGACTTTACCATTAATAACCAGGTGCGGACTGCTAGGTGCCAATTTTTTTCCTTGATATTCATACATTCGTAGTTCCAAGTTGTTTCACCAAACGGGTGGTTGTGTTAATAATGCGGCCGTAAAATTAGTATTGTGTTTGTTCACAATTCCTCAGTTTGTAATTTTATTTCGTTTATTGTGATTTTTTACCGTTTTATCTATACTATTCAAATATTTATTGTTTTGTGAATGGTTTTTCAACTGGATGCTGTATTCAATATTAATAACAAATTATATTTAAGTAATTAAATGAAGACTTAATAACAGACGTAACTTAATTATTTGTTAAAAAACATAGCATTGATGTTGCGTGACGTTGTTTTCTGCAAATTTCTAAAACATAAAAGTGAGTATCTAACAGACGAATTTTTCTACAAGATATGTTTACTATGGATTACACATATTAAATAGTACTCATAATCAATGGTTTTACTAAACACCGTTTTTTAGAGAAAAGGAGTACAAGGTATTTATTTCCTACCATTGTATTATAAATTATAAAAATTTTGATCATTGATATGAAAGGTGTTGGATAATTAAAATAAAAGATCATGTGTTTAACAAAGATTACTTGGACCAATTTAAAGATAAAAGGAACTTTAATATTATTCATCAAGGTAGATTTCAAAACTGTTATCAGGAAAAAAGTAGTAAAATAAATGTAATAATATGTTAGGGACTAACAGCAAAATCTACACAATTGTATAAAAAACATATTTAAGTTTTTTATTTTTACATATTTAATTCTCTTTGTTTGTACAAATAAACACTATTTAAAATCATAGTTAATTTACATAATTTTTTGATTAAATAAAAAATTTTAGTAGAAGTTATCTATAAAATCTGTAATTGGATTATTATGATAATAAAAACAAAATATATTAAGTGAATTATATTTTTTTCTCCTAATAAGAATACAGGAACAAATATGTGAAACCTAGACTTAAATTTTGTGTTTATAGGTGTTATTTATATCAATGTAGCTATATTATTTTTATTTCGTTGATTTTAGTTCTATATTATTATTAATCTTTTTAGATGATTTTAGCATTAAAAAATTAAAAAATGATTCATGTGACATAAATTCTAGAAGTGATATTGATTATTTAGTAGATTCTAATGGTATGCCATGGGATGATTATGATGAAGAGTTAATAAGTATATACAATAATAGTAATAATTATTTTATTAATTAAATAAAACTTTTTTTAATAATATTTATATATGTATATGTAAAGCTCAAATCGAATCCCATGAAAATATTACTGAATATTATGAAGAAAAACACTTGCAAGCTGGATCAAGCAGTATGTTTGAAAAATGTTTTACCTCTACAAATTGTGGAACTAAAGATTATGGAAGTAATATCAAAAGTAATGTTGATAAGCTTTGCTTTATTTCTGATGAATTAACTACAGAATCATACAAGAATAACAATAGTTCAATAGCTATTATGAGAAAAAAGAAAGAACATATAATCAAATATGATACGAGCTCAACAGAAGATGACAGTGATGATGAATATAAAAAAAATAATTTATGCAATTTGTCAAAAAGTTGTTAGTATCTATAATACTATACTTTAGAATATTCCAAAATATTTATCTTAGTTAAACTTATAGATACTCCAAGAGCAGCAGCAGTAAAAGCTACAGCAGCTATTGCTAAACATAGTTTAAAAAAAAAACGATTAAAAAATACCTCAGAAGATGAAAATGAAAGAAGGCCTAAGATAATAAAAGAGTGTAAAGTAAGTTGGATAAACTATGATATCTTAATTATTAAATTTTAATATATCACAAATTTCCAATAAACATAAGCTTTAAAAACTTTCCAAAACTTCAATTTAATTATTTTCTATTTAAAAATATAGATATTTACTTAACTGATTTTAGTTAAGTGATAGATAGTTATTACTAAGTTATTTTAGTTATTCCTGAACCCTAGTCATTACAGTATATAAAATAAATTTTTTTGTTTAATATAAATATTACATTAAAAAGTCATAAAAGTTTAAATGACTTGATTTATATTATACATTTTTAAAATTGGTAAACAACTATTTTTTAGGGATCGGATGAAGAAGAGACAGAACTGATAGATTATGGCATTGAATTGCCTGAAAATTTTGTTAGCATATTTATGGAAGATCAACATTTAGTTGTTGATGATCGTTTTGTAAGTATACAAAATGAAAGATTATTAATTCATTAATTTTTCTATAGATATTAATTTACTAAGTTGAAAAAAATTTAATTTTTGTAACTAGAAAATTATACTTGATATAGAAGTATAGAAAATTTGAAAAAAAAAAAATTAAAAGCATTTAACTTAGAAGTTTTTGTACATTTTTTATCTTATAAAAAATTTCCAATGAAATTTGCAAGAAAATGTTTTTATGATTAATGAAATTTTTTTTTTAAATGTGGAGAGCTATATATATATTTTTTACTAAAATCACTAGTAAAACTTAATTGCTTACTAATATTTATAAACTTTTTTTTAGAATTTTAGGAGTTTAATGTTTAAAATATTATCAAGATAATAAGAATAATAAATACATTTTTTTTTTATGTCGATTAAATTTATTTATTGTAAAAAATATTCACTTATCACGACCCACTTAATTAATCTCAAAATAAAAATAAAATTAATTATTTTCTTAACTAGATCACTATCTATTAAATAAGCTAGTTAATTGTGTGTAATGTCTTTTTAAAAATTAAAGTTAGCTCCTTATAAGGTATAGGGCAAGAACATAAAAAAAACTGCAATTGAAATATTGAGAGAATCATTGAACTAAAAGAAATAAATAAAAATTATCAATATTTTTATTTTTCAATTAATTAAGTTTTTCATGATAAATAAATTATCCTGTATATGTTATTTATAATAATTAAATAATTTAATTGTTTAATTTTCAGATAGCATATTTACCAGCTAAACCATCAGTCTATGACATACTATGTGATTATGCCAAAAAAAAAACAGTGTATGTGTATTGAAAAAAAAAATATCTTTTGTAATCTCATAACATATCAATAATTATTAGATTAGGCACAAAAAATCATTTATCATTCACTTTGAATTTACTAACAATACATATATATATATATTTTTTATAGTGACTTAGATGTTTTGAATATAGTATTAGATGCTTTTAATCAAGCTGTGGCAGTATGGTGTCTACGTCGTATTGAAAAACTACAATATCAAGAAGTGATTATTTGAAAATTATACAGAGTGAACAGACCTATCTAATAAATCTTATAACTTATAATATATTACCATTTTTCTTTTTTCATTTTAATAAACTTTTATAAATTTGGACTACATTCTAAACTTAATATTATTTAATTTTTTTTATTACATAAAATAATAAACTAGTAATTTTTTGTTTTAAAAGATTTTATGCTAGCCATTTTATTGATTTATTTTAAAGAAAATATTTTGATATCATAAACTGTCATAGCCATGTCATAAAAAACCAATTAGCTTGTATATATAATCCCTCATGTATTATTCATGTATATTAAATCAAAAATTTGAAACTAAAATTTTACTTTCAATATTGGATACAAAATTGGTTTTCTTATATCCTTTTATATAAAATATAGAAAACTATTAAATTCAATAGAAAAAGTATAAAAAAATTCAAATTATAACTAACTTCAAAATTCTGTATCAAATTAACAAGTAGATTTTATAAGAGTTTGTTGTATTAAAATTTTTCTTAATAAATAAAACTATAAAATGTCTCAGGAAATTTTCAAAATATTTTTAAATAAAAAATTATTTTAATGTAGTAAAAAATATTTGTTCAAGTTTAGAATGAAGTCTAGTTCTGTAAAGATTGGTCAAAAAGAGAAAAATATTAGTAAATGAAAAGTTCTATGAGTTTTATTAGTTAGATCTGTTTCACCCTACATAATTCTTGTAAAAGGTTTTACAACAATTTTATTTTGTTCTAATTAGATGATAGAAAAGTATCCAGGTCGTCCTATGTGTCACATTTATGGTTTACCACATTTAGTTAGATTTATCAGTAAGTTTTTTACAACAGAATTATTTTATTTTTAAAATAATTTTATGAACCTAGCAATATTAAATAAAAAAAGAACAATTAGTATAACAAATTTAACTGTAGCTAATTATTTTATTAAATTGATTTCTATCTGTTGTTTTTTGTGTTAGAGAAAAACAAATTTTAATAATTAATTAATATAGAGTTTTAGTGTAATAGTGTAATTCTTATCTGTTTAAGCTTGTCTACCAAAGTTATTCTGCATGATGGCAAAAGAGACACCTACATTTACTGGGTTTGTTACTGAGTTTATAAAAGGATTTTTAGAGTAAGTTAAATAAACATTAATACCATTATCAAATAAAATATTGTAGTTATATATAAGTAGAGCTATAATATATTAATAATTTTTATATTAATAAAAATTGTTTAAAAAGATTAATTTAAATACTGATTGTTCAATTGTTAACTATTAAATAATAATACATATATGTAATATAAAACTATAATACCAGACAGTGGTTTAAATTAAGCATATACTTTTTGTTACAGCTATATGGTTGAAGAATGCTATCAAATAAACCTCCACAAAGACTATATAAATGTTTTGCCCGAATATTATAGAATGACCTATTGCCCTATTCGCATTAAACGTTAAAATACCTTAAAATCTGTTCCAAAATTTGGGTACCTTAACTTTATTTTATTTATTATTTTTTATTTTTATACTTCATATTACAACAATATATATATATATTTATTTATTGTATATACATACAATATAACTTTATGTATAAAAATGAAATTAAACTAAAATTAAAGATCAAATTGTAACTTTTAAAACATATTTGATTATTATGATAAATGTTTCTATTAAGATTCAAAAATATTCATAATATAATAAACTTAAAATTCTTAACTAACCATGATTACAGATTTCTATAAATACTAAATTTTATTTTTACAAAAATTGAAAAACATTCATAAAATGGATAATTATTTAAATTTATTTTGAAATAAGCCCACAATTGTGTGAATCATTAGTAGTTAAATTTATAATATTATCAGATTTTTGATAAAATTATAAAATTGAGGTAGTTATTAGTAAATTAAGATAATTATTACAATTTTTTTTTCATAAACTATTAACATGAATTATTAACTGACTCATTCTAATTGATACATATAAAAATCAATTAGAATGAGACTTTTTTTTAAGTGGATAAAAACTTAAAAAAATAAGTGTTTTTCATTTATCTCTGCTATTTAGTGTGTAAAAATAAATTTCTAGTAATTTATAAATCATTTATTAAAAATTATTTCTTATTATTGGATAGTGAATTTTTAAAATGTTTGTTTTAAATAATACTTAATTAGAAGAAAATAAAAATAAAATTTTAGCTAGTGTTGTGTTTTAATAAAATATTTTAGATTTATAAATTTTTAAATTAAAGATTATAACTACAATTATAATCTTTTAACTATAATTATAATAAGTCATCCATGTTATATTTATTTATCATATTTATTCGGAGAAGGCTTAATGGAGTATGCTATTTATGAACTTGATTTAAACATTATGTGAAATAAATATTAAACGTTTGCTACACATATTAAAATTACTTCATTATACAAATTAATTTAGTCATACATTTTGGATTAAATTTTAGTTTATCTTTTCTTTATTTATCTGTAAATTTAAAAGTTATTTTCTATTTCTTTATTAAACATAATTATTTTTTAAATTGAACATTCAACTTAAATTTTAAATATTTATTTCTTAACTGTAAATTCTATTTCATCAATTAATTAGTTTATTTTTAAAAGTATAGTACAGTTATTTATTGTATCTTCAACATATAAAATCATTGTGGAATAATTATACACATCATTCAATTATGAAAAATGAATTATTATCCTTGAATATAAATAAATTAACTTAATTATTTTTCTTTTTTTATATTATCTTTCATGGTTTTATTACTAATTAATTTATGAAAGAATAGTAAATATCTTAACTTACAAAAGTAAAATAATTATTTTATTTTTATTTTCAACAACAGATTTTATAAATAAATAACTAATATAAAGTTAAAAGTATAATGTATAAATATTAAATTTATCATAAATGTAATAGTTTTTTTTTTAATAATGTTTATTAGCAAATTTATTGGACTTATCCTGGATCAACACATCATGATGGTTAAGATGAATGTAATATACCCATACATAATGTTAAATTTTTGATATTTAAACAAATTATGTTTAATTAAATTAATGATTAAATTTACCTTAATGGTAGAAGAAATATTAATTTTATTTTTGTTTTTATGCTCTTTCAGTATTCAAAATTACCAAATAAATCTATAAATGCAATGATAATCTAAATTTAAAATTTTTTATTAATTAAAAATATTTGTTTTACTTAAGTGAATTTTTTTAATTTAATTTTTTAATTTTTGCTTGTTTAAGTGTTTTTTGAACAGAGGCGCTTACCTTTTGGTACTCAAAAAAATCGCTTAATAGACCCGAGGATCTATATTTTTTAAAAGCTTTAGTGCGCTCATTGATAGCATAGGTGCAAGAGGAAGACCACCATATAGGAGGGGAGGGAAAAGACTTTTTAGTTTTTTTAATCAAAGGAACAGATAAATTAACGACTCTAATAATTGTAGACACCAACCAGTTGTAATTCTTAATGGGAGAGAAAGAGAAAAAATTAGAGGTGAAAATGTTCATGTCATTTTGAAAAGATGGCCAATCGGCTTTCGACTAATTAAATCTGTTAACAGCGGTGTTATAGGGGGAGAGAGAGGGAGTGGGAGAATTCGTGTGGGAAATAATAATGGGAAAATGATCACTAACATGTGTGCAGTCTAGGACAGACCATGACAACGATAATGAGGGAGATGAAATGGTTAGGTCAATCGTGGAATCCATTTGAATAGGGCCTGTTAGGACAGTGGGGGTTCTGTATTGAGAATACAAAGATTGTATGTAGAAATAGCAGACGAAAAAATGTTACCACGATGATTGGAAATTAGCGCCCCTAGGAGGGATGATGACCATTAAAGTCACTGCCTATAATAGAATTACAAGAAACTAAAGAAAAAATGCAATCAATTAGTAGAGAAGGTGGGTTGGAAGATGGGGCAATGTAAATGGACCAAATGGCAATAAGATTGGGTAAATTGATAAACGACTCAATACCGGCAAGATCTATGGAATGATTAAGAAGCGATATTGTTAATATAGGATCAATAAAAGTAGGATTAATGTGGATAGTGTGATGGGATGCGATATTTACGCCACCAAAATCGTTAAAAAAAGGATAGTTTGGATTACTATTAAAACGTGTTATCATTGTCAGATAAAGGATAGTGGATGTTAATTAATGAAGATTCGATAGTTAATTGAAGTATTGAAGGAGAGGAAATTAATTAAGGATCGCTCAGAAGTAGCTGAGCTATTACTTAACTCAGCTAGCAAGTAGCTGAGTTACTTGGCAGTCATAAATCAATTGCATGATTTTTTAAGCTCACATTATAGAATTAAACTTTTGAATGATCCAAAAACAAACAAATAACAATTATTAATTATTACGACAGTCATGTCATAAAATTCTTATTATTTCATAATTTAAGTTCTTCTACAATTTCAAGTTTGGTAGTTACTCAGCTCCGACTGTGCTAAAAAAAAAAATTCAGCCCGCAACACTGTTTTCCGGATCAGGAAATAACTTTTTGTATTAATATCCTAAATTTATTTTAATAAAAATATGTAAACTTCTTTGATAAATAAACAAAAATTATTCTAGCTTTTAAGCATTTTATCAATTATCCGTTTCGTAGGCACACATTCAGTCAAAATCTTGGGAGTGCTAAAGTTGTAGATACCAAGATGACTCGTGGGAAGATCAAAACTTACAAAAATTATTTTATTTATTCGAGTGGTTTATTACTTTTTTTTTTAATTACCAAAAATGTTGTACTCTGCATAGATATTTAAGAAAATTTGAATAAGTAATCAAAAACAGTATAGTGGCACAGTGAATATGGTTGGGACAAGTATAGTTGATATCTAACAGTGATTAGTTCATTATCATAAAAAACGCTTTCATTCTAATTTGTAGATAGTGTTTTATTTATGAAAGTAATTATTGGATTATACAAAAAATAACTTTTATTTCATGATTATATCCAATAGTTAAAAATATGGTGAACGAAGTCCCCTTTCTTATTTGGAGTACAATCCAGCGCTTCCTTTAAATCAATTCCCGAAATGCCGGGGGTACGCTTTAATTTTTCATATTTTTCCAAAACTTTGAGCTTTATATGCGCCCAGTTAATCAAGTAATATAAGGCTCAAATTTTTTAAAGATTATCTTTAGACATAAAGGAACAAATTTACGCCCCGCGCTCCTGAAGTTTCGCATAAGAATTTTCCTTCATATGTAAATAGCGGCCACCCTAACATATATATATATATATATATAAAATTACCTAACTAAAAAAATTATTGGTCGATAACAACTTTTGAACCAGAATTTAAAAGATGTTAGTACTTTTATGCCATAGTAGAAGTAGTGCAGTAGAATGTCCAGAGATAAAAATTCACACCACTCAACTCCTCCCGACCTACTATTATTGTCATTTTCTTGTTATTAAGCTAATTAAACATTTGTTTCCAATTAAAGAACTTAATTGATATTATTTTTTAAATAATGAAAAAAGGGTAGAAATAATAATTTTTGTTGAAAATTTTAGAACATAGGATACTTCTAAAAAGAAAAATTAAAATATGTATGTTTTAAACTTTTAACAATATTGTGTTAAACATAATTAATCAATCACTTTGTACAAGTAACAGCAAGGAGTTCAAACCATAGCAGTGTAATTCATTTTAATTCAAGTAATAACCATTATTTTTATTCAAAATATATCCTAATAGCCATAAAAACAATGATAATTGTTAACAATATAATTTGAATTTGAGCAATCTTCAAAAATACCTCGAAAAATCAACTTACTAAATTATTATATGATACTTATCATGGCTGTTCTAAAGATTTTATACTGAAGGTATATGCATCAGAATTTTTTATACTACTCCCTCTAGAATAAATCTCTACCCTCTATTTTTTTATTCATGGGGTTCTATCTAAGTATGTTCCCATGAGCAGTGATATTCTTAGCGGATGGGTAGGATAGCAACAGGGCTTACCTTGTTTTCAGAGCCAGCTTTAGACACGGGACCCATAAAATGTTTTATTTTCAAATAATGACCATAAAAGAAAGAGGCCAAAAATATATGTAATAAATCCAAATTATAATAACCGGGCCTGTCCTAAATTTTAATTCGGCGGATGCGACTACCCATGAGAATACCTATGTCAAACATATATTTTTTTATTTCATCAAAATTGTGTATAAATAATTTTAATGAGAGATCAATTAACTTTCAGAGTACATTTGCTCATCACTATGTAACGAGAAAAAAATAAAACGGTAGCACAGTGGGGTCGCGGCATAGTGGAGACATTGCATAGTAGAGTCCAGTATAGATTTAATCTGACAGTGATTAAAATCACTATCATAAGAAACGCTTCGATGCAAATCTGTAGATAGTGTTTAATTTTAAAAAATTGATGGATAATTGCAAAAGCAACATCAACTTCTATTAAAATAAAATACAAAACCCATAATTATCATACAAAAATAGTATATTTTTCAATATGGTAGCCATTTGCGTATAGAAGATAGATCGTCGGGACAAATTTTTTTTTTTCATTTTGTAGTACATAAAATAAGCTTTAATTTTATATATGTTTAAAGGACGCAGTATTTCCGGAACATTTTCAAAAATTAAGTTGAAAAAGTTATTTTTTGTAAAAAAGTTACTATTTTAAATCCTCCCAGTGAGCAGAATAAGTGTTAGATTTTCAAAAAAAATTATATCAAATGAAAGGGAAATATCTAAGGTTTCAATACAAAAAAATATTATTTTTATTTGTTCATTTTTGAAAAAGTTATGGCAGTTTTAAGTACAAAAAACATCCCGATAAAATGTAATTTTTATCGCAAACATTACATTTTTTTTTAAATTTTCGACAGCCATTTGCACATAGAAGATAAGATGTCGGGACAAATTTTTTTTTTTCATTTGATAGTATATAACATAACCTTTGATTTGATATATGTTTAAAGGACGCAGTATTTCCGGAACATTTTCAAAAGTTCAGTTGAAAAAGATCTATGTTTTTTACAATATTTTAAGTTTTGAACGCCCCCTATATAAGGGGAAATTGTCCAATTTTAATAAAAAGTATGTCAAATGAAAGATGTACTTATAATGTATTTAGAAAAAAAAAATTTGTGCTGATATATACATTTTTCAAAAAGTTATAGCATTTTTAAGTTGAAAATTTAAAATCGAAAATCGAAAATTTTAACACAAAAATAGTGTTTTTTTAACTACGGCAGCCGTTTAAATGTAGAAAAAAAAGTGTCGGGACAAATTTTTTTTTTTCATTTTGTAGTACATAAAATAAGCTTTAATTTGATATATGTTTAAAGGACGCAGTCTTTCCGGAACATTTTCAAAAATTAAGTTGAAAAAATTAATTTTTGTAAAAAAGTTGCCATTTTAAATCCCCCCCAATGAGCAGGTTAAGTGATAGATTTTCAAAAAAATGATATCAAATGAAAGGTAAATATCTAAGGTTTTAGTATAAAAAAAAATTATGTTGATTTGTTGATTTTTCAAAAAGTTATGGAAGTTTTAAGAAAAAAAAGTGAAAAAATTTCGAAAATTAGCGATTTTTAAATTTGTAATTTTTTTGGATATTTCCCCCATTTGCGGGGAACGAGGGAATTTTTTTCAATTTTTAAGGGTAATGTCTTCAACTAGATACGATTTGTGATCTTTTGACGTATTTTTGAAAGAAATCGGTCCAGTGAGAGCTGAGAAAAAGTGGCAACAGACATAAAAAAAAAAAAAAACACATCATAGTAAAATTAATACCTTCTCCGCTTCGCATCGAAGCTAAAAAGTTTAACTATTTAAAATCTGTCAACAAAAATGACCACAGGCGTTAAATTGATGGCAAGTGCTACTGAATTGGAATTTATCTATTTCATTTTAAATAATTTGTCTTAATGACATCTAGTGGTGTTATTAAGTACTGAGCTCATATTGAAGTTAGTCATTGTATGGCGTTAGCAGTTAACTACTGAATCCTTCAAAATGACATGAGGAGTTTTTTTCGTGACCACATATGGTTTCAAAACATTTCTCGGGTAACGCGTATTATGTTATCATTCAAATTTTTTATCACACCGCTTTCCACTTTTCGCACTTTTGACGACAACCACTTCCCATTCTAAGAGCTTAGTCCTTTTTAAATGGAATTTCTTCATTAATTAAAAAAAAAAAAAAAGTGTTGATGATTTTTTTAAATTTTTTTGCTTAAATATAATTTTTAGTTGTTTTATAGCACAATTTCTTTGTTATAAAATACACTTATGTGGGACCAATACAAATTGTTAATACGGCGCGTTCATCTTTAACTTTGACAAAAAAATTGAACATTGGATATGCCATTTATGCTAGTTAAAGAATTTCAATTGTTTTTATTAAAAATACGTTATGTACTCTTCAGAGTACATTTTCTCCATAGCTGACTTGGAATATTAACTTCATCTAATTACCATCATAGTTAGTAGTTAACATTTTGTTTAGAAGACTATACTTTAAGGTATGTGTTTACGATTTTTTCAATTTTTTTTAGCTTCTAAAGCTGTTATGTACAAAAAATGTTTTTATGAAGTTTAAACTTCATGTATACTGCATTATTGAACTTAAAATTATTAAAATTTGTTCATTAGTCAATCTGTCTTCAAAAATGTATAATAGTATATATTTTTTAAATTGATGACCCTCTACTTATATTTTGATCAATAATTTTATATCTTGTTGATAACACTGATTAATATATATTTTGTGACATAGATAAAACTATAATTCTAAACCATTTTCCTGTGCTGATTTAAAATTGATCATAAGAATGTTTCTATTACGTTTAGTTTTTAAGATATTTCTTATTATTGTGTTTTGTTAAAGTTATGTCAAAACAGTTTAAATTTTAATCGAATACTAATATTTATTAGCTATATTATAAAAATATAGTAGTATACAGAGTGATCTGTTTATTATAAACTACTCCATTACAAGCTAAATAAATACTATATTGAAATAATAATTTTGATTTCTTTTAGTTCTTAATTTATCAACTATTAATTACTTTTTAAGATCACATCTTATAATGTATAGGGGTGTTAACTTAATTTTTTAAATGGTAACATACATATTTATTAACTTATAAAATAGACAATTTTCTATTTAAAAAAATTACTGATCGTTAACAATTTTTGAACCCGTACTTCAGATGTTATTCTCATTTCTATATCTAGGTGGGACAAATAGTACAGCCAGGAAATTACAAGTGATAAAAATAGAAACAGCTACTCCTCACCTCCTGTCATAACTTAAAATTGTTGAATACTTCTGAATACAGGTTCAAAAGTTGTTATCGGTCAGTAATTTTTTATATTCTTAATCTAATTAATTCTTAATTAGATTATTTCTTATTTTATAAGCTATTAAAATATGTTTGTTACCATATAAATTTCACTAAAAATAAGGTTGAAATTCCTTTGAGTTATGAAAAATTATTACAAAAAGTAATTATTAGCTGATAATCAAAAACTATATGTAACTAAAAGAAATCAAAAATTATTTTTCCATTATTGTAAACATTTTGTGAGTAATCAAGTGGTTAATGGAAAACCAATCACCTAGTATGCTTTAGTTTATTAAACATAATATTTTTGAGAATTTTCTTTATTAGTCTACTACAATCTAATTTTATATAAAACAAATAACTTATAATAGTTTTACAATTGAATACTTTAATTATAATTTTATTTTAAATGTTCAAGTTGTATTTCCTCCGTATTTCAAAATTTACTACTCATAGAAAATAGCACAAATATCAACTCTTTTTTTTTTTTTTAAATTAATTTTAATACATTTTATTAAAAATTGAAAATAAATATATTAATATATCAAATTATTTGTCTTATGATAAAAAATAAAAAAAATATCGCTTATACTACTATATTTTTATAAATAGTAATATATATTTTAATTTATTTAAAATTTAAGCTGTAACATAGATTTAGCATAACAAAAATAATACTTATTATATTTTTTTGTGGCTAGCTTTAAGGCATAAATTTTGTAATAGTGTAATAATGATAACATTTTCCCTAAAATATGTATCTGCTATTTTTTTAGTAATTTTTGTAGCTTTTTGAATTAATCTTTTAAAATTTTTTTTTATTTTTAAATTAATATTTAAAATTTTAATTTTAAACAATTTGAATGTTTATTTTCAATAACATTTATTATATTACTTGAAATATAGTACAGCGAACATATGAATCTATAAATATTCTATACCATGTCTTATAAATGAAGTATTGTATAAAGAAATCATTAATATTATGAATTAATTTTAAATAAATTGGCAATAAATCGTCAGCATTAAAAATAATCTAAAGTAATTAATTTAAATTTAAGCACAAAAAGAAATTTTTTGTTTTGTCTGTGTATTTATATTTATGTACAAATATAAATAACATGTAAATTTTTTACAAATAATACAAGTGTGTTTATATTTTGTAATTGAGTTGTATTCCAGACAAATGGCTTGTCAATGGATAAGTCCTTATTCTAGAGATATTTTTAAAATAAAACATTTTTTATGAAATTTTTATATATTTAAATCTATTGAAATTATAGATTTTTTACAAAAAACAGACATCAAATATTACTAATGGGCATTTGAACCAATATTTTAAAGTTTAGTATTTTAAAACATGGATTGGATGTGAAGTGTGGATGCTACTATTTTCATAGTTAGTCATTTTCCATTGTGTAATGTAAATGTATGTTAATTATAGTTATTTTATAAAAGTAATATTTAAGTATTTAATAAAACATACTGTATAACATAAGTATATGAGTAGAGTAGAGTTTGTCATTTCTTATTTTAAATAACTGATAATAAGTTATAGGAAATACAATTAATTAAATTATATAAGCAATTTTAGCTCACCTCTAATAACTTAACTAAACTACAGGAATGAAAGAAATGGAGTCAATCAAAGAAGATGATAGGAGGCGAAGGTTACAAATTCTTGAAAATAAATTAAGGGATCCAAGAAGCATTTCTAATGTAGATTCTTTACTGGTGAGAAATTATTATAATTATAAATTATAATGTGAACTTATAATACATAAATGTATAATTATGATATTAATATAAATTGAAGTATTCCCTTAATTTAATATTACTAAATAGCTTGAAAATAAAAAGGTTCTAACGCAATTTTTTTGAACAAACATTTTTTTTCTAGAAATACATTAAAAAATTGAAAAAATATACATATTTTGAGTCCTAAATGAAGTTGTTTTATTCATTATACAGAGAGTTTACTTATATTAAAAATTAGAAGTTATAAATAGCTGTATGATCATTTTATTTTTAAAACCGATCTACTGAACAATTATCTATTTTACATTAAAATTTTTATTCTTAATTGATGACTTTAAGATAAAAATTCTTTATTTATAAAATTTAAAACAAAACATTTTTTGTAAAAAAGCAAAAATATTTAGTATTTATGAATATAAAATATTTTAAGTCTAATGCCACAGAACAACCCAAAAGAAAACTTAAAGCTTGATTAAAAATGGTTTACCATACCTTAAAATAAATAGATTTGACAGAAAACATATATTTCCCTTATTTTTAAGTTCTATATGGTTTGTGGTAACTTTTTAAAATAGAAGAAACATAGGGGGAATAGAAAATCTGGAGGTGGAAATTGAAAAGGGAAAATGAAAAAGATTTTGTAAAGACGATAAAAGAGAGGACGGTGTGGAATGTCGAGGGAAATATAAATGATGTGTTGAATAGATTTGATAGTAGTGTAAAGAATATTGCAAAGGAGATTGTTGGTAAGAGTAGGACTAGAATGCCAGGAAACAAGGAAACCTGGTGGTGGGATGAGGACGTTCAAAAAATCATAGAAAGTAAGAAAAATCAATTCAAAATATGGCAGAAGAGCAAAAGGAGAGAAGACTGGGATGGAGTATAAACGCTTGTGCAAAGAAGCCAAGTGTGCAGTAAGTAAAGTGAAGTTAAGGAGGTATGATAAGTTATATGATAGGCTAGGAACAAAGAAATGCAAGAAAGAAATCTATAGATAAAGATAAGAGAGAAAAGGTCTAAAGATTATCATTATATAAGATGTATAAAAAATGTTGATAATAAAGTACTCTCGAGTAATAATGATGTGAAAAAAAGGTGGAAAGAGTATTTTGAAAAATTATTGAATGAGGAGTACCCAAAAGAGACATTAGAGGATATTATGTAGAATGACTGGTAGTGAGAATTAATGAGAGGTATGGAAGGCAGTGGCATCAATGAAAAAGAATAAAGCAGTAGGACCAGATGAAGTGCCAGTAGATGTATGGAAAATATTAGGCCGTGTTGGCATAAGGTGGTGAAGAAACTTTTAAATAAAATCTTATTAGAAGGAAAATACCAAATGAATGGAGGAATAGTATTGTGGTACCGATATTTAAAGGTAAAGGAGGCATACAGGAGTGTGGAAATTATAGAGGCATAAAAATTATGAGTCATAGTATGAAAATTTGGGAAAAGGTAAGGGAATAAGAAATAAGATATCGGTATCTAAAAACCAGTTTGGATTTATGCCTGGTAAGTCAACAATGAAGCCAGTATTTTGTGTGAGGCAAATAATAGAAAAGTTTAAGAAAAAGAAGAAAAAGCTGTGTATGGTATTTATAAATTTGGAGAAAGCGTATGACAGAGTACTGTGAGAGGTTTTAAAATGGGCATTAATGAGAAGTTAGTTGCCTAGAAAGTAGAGCAGAGAATGAGTGTAGCAGAGATTTGAATGCTTAGATGGATGAGTGGAATGACTAGAGAAGAAAGGATAAGGAACGAGCATATAAGAGGGAGTATAGGTGCAGCGTCGATTGTGGATAAGATGAGAGAAAATAAACTTAGATGGTTTGGTCATGTTATGAGGATAGAAGAATCGGAAGCTGTAAGAAACAGTTATAGAAATGAATGTTGAAGGAAGAAGAGGTAGAGGAAGACCAAAAAAGAGATATAGAGATGCTATTGAATGCGATTTGAGGACAGCTGATGTGAGCGTAGATAATGTGGGAGATTGTGTCAAGTGTAAGTTTAGGATAAGGGTGGCCGACCCCAAGTAGTTGGGATTAAGGGGAAGAAATGAAGAAAGAAGAAGAAGATTTGAAATATACTTATAAGGGTTTTATGCGAGGCGAGAGTAGTCTCCTTTTAACTGTCTATGATAATGAGTAAAATTCCTTATCCTTTTTAATGCTAAACTATAAAAAATAAATATTTAGATTACATTATAATATATTTAAATGTTATAAAAAATTAAAGAAACATATTAATTAATTTTATGTTTCTTTAATTTTTTTAAAATTTATTTAAATGATAATATAAATTTCTTAAATTGAATTTTCCAAAAAAAATGATATTGCCAGAATATTTTACGAATTTAAGAAATTAAAACATACCTCCATGAGTTGTTGATTTTTGCATCCCATAATTTAAATTTCTTTAAAAACTAACATTACACATTATAAAATTTTGTTGGTATTACAAAAGTGTATATTCAAGAAGTTATTTGGTACATGTTTTCACAGAAAATATGAGAGGAAAAATCGATAGAAAGATTAGAAAAAGCTATGTCAAGGAAAATAATTACATCAAATATTGCATCTAAAATGTCCTGTATTTCTGTTTTTATTTCTTCTGTTTTTTAAGAAGAGTAGAAATGTTATTTAACTTTCATTACATAATTTCAGTTTAAAAATATAATTTTTATGTTAAAGTTTACTTTCTTGTAAATTAAAATTTTAACTTAAAAAAAAGTAATTATTTAATATTATTATTAATTTGTTAAGGATACAGTACAAGCATTAGTTGCTGATTGTGAAAATCCTGCTGTAAAACGAATGAAAAATGTTGAAGCTTACATACATAGATGTAAGTAATACTATAAAATTTATAAAATATTTAAATAATGAATGCTTAATAATATGGTCATAATATATATTTGAATGTAATTTTATCGTTTTATTTAACATTCTGTGACTAAACATCACAGTCGTATACAAAAAAACACTTCTGGTTTCAGTTTTTTAAAATAAAAAAAAATATATATATATATATATATATGTATTTGAAATTTAATAATTTGTTATTTTTTCAATTAATGCATTATTGTAGATGATTACAGAATAATCAATAATCAAGTTCTATCCCTTCTATTGTTCCTTTTAANAGAATAATCAATAATTAAGTTCTATCCCTTCTATTGTTCCTTTTAATTTTTATAATTTGGTAGAAACATATATTTTAATACTTTATGTAATAGACAATTATCCAATTAATCAGTTATCTTATTTACCAATGATTTTCTTAATTAGCTTATAATCTATAGGATTAACTATAGCTAGTTGAATATGATGTCATTATAAACTATCATTGATATCTTTATAAGATCTAAATGATAAAAGATGGGCCTTTAAAAAATATTTAGTAATTGAACAATTGAGATTTATATAGGATTATCAGTTTAACAGTTAGTAACTACTTTTTAAAATTGTCCACTGTTACTTATAGGGGTATCCACTTTATTTGTTTAATAGACAACATATAAATTTAACTAGCTTATAAAATAGAAAATGACTATTCAATAATGACTTTTAGACCAGTACTTTGAAAGTTATTAACACTTGTATACCAAGGCAGAAAGTGGAATGTGGTGAAAAAATCTAATGATAAAAATAGCCGCAACCATGCTTTACCACTAATCTTTATTTTAAAATGGTAATACCTTGAAGTTATCGACCAGTCATTTTCTTATTGTACTTATTTTGTGAATAATTGAATTGTTTATGATAAACTTTTTATTTGACCAAAAGTCAAAAAAAAAAAAATTCACAATACGAATTTTAATTTGTAGGTAATTAAGTGTATTATGATAAAAAAATAATATACTTATATTTTTACAGAGTGATTGATTAACTGTGTTTAACTCTATTAACTATATTGATTTATTAATTATTCAAACAATATCTTTAAAAGTATAAAACATATAACTTTTTTTTAGTAGTTTTTTAGTTTTAGTTTTAGTTATTATCGAGGTGGACATAATGCCCATGCACTCAGACTTGTTGGTCCATTGTGCACACCGCATACCGAATTGTCTTGATTCGGTTTACCCACCTAAGTGTTATCACCAAAGTGTTAATACATTACCAACCATAAGTCACCTCTAAAAATGACCAAAGAGTCCTGCCTTTCTGGCGAAATTAAGTATCTCTCTGGGTTTTAGGTTTTTAATATCTTCTTTTTCAGGAAAAGGTTTATTCAAGTAGTTTGATCTTAGTGTGGACAAGGCTTCATATTCGCACATGATGTGAAATGAGTCTTCCTCTTCTACTCCACACTTCCTGCACAATTGTGATTCCGATACCCCCATTGCGTTAAGATGTTTAAGCAGGTGACCATGTCCTGTCAGTAGACCAGTCAGGGTGCTTATTTGATGTCTAGTCATGCTATTAAGATCACCCAGCAATAAACCAGGGGTCTTGATAAACATTTTAGATTGTCTAGGTACTACCAAGTACTTCCAGATTTTCCTGTGTTGTTCTCTGCACCAATTCTTGGGTAACGCTTTGAGCGATTGCTCAGTGAGTCCTACCACTGGTTCTGGTCCAACATAGGTGTTCTCTGCTCCTTTCCTGGCTAGAAAGTCAGCATTCTCATTTCCAGTGACACCGTTGTGTCCTGGTACCCACGCTAGTGTAACTTTGTTGAACCTCGATAGTGATTCTAAAGTTTCCCTGCATTCGAGGACCAGCTTTGAATTCACCTGATCGTTACAGAGTGCTTTCAAAGCCGCTTGACTATCACTTAAGATAGTTATCTTCCTATTTTTGNACTATCACTTAAGATAGTTATCTCTCTATTTTTGTATACCAGCAGGTTCTGAGCCCCTACCAGTATCGCCATCACCTCTGCTTGGAAAACAGGGTGTTGTGCCCAATGACATACTGACATTTATTCGTGGCTTTAAGCCCCAAATTCCAGCACCTACCTTTCCTGATTNTCAGCACCTACGTTTCCTGATTTTTTGGATCCATCTGTATATATAACAAATCCTCCTTTTTCAGTCAGGTGGTTAATATTCCATTCTCTACGTGTAGTGATCTCCACATTGTAGGGAATGTTATTCTTAAGAACCAGTTTGATATAGTCCAAAGAGTACTCTAAAAAGCCCTGGTCTATCTCTTTTAGTATTTTACCATGTTCTGTTGTATCACTCTCCAAAGTCCACATACCTAAGTTGTGGAATCTTAGTGCTGTAGCTTTGGCGTGAGCTTTCACCTCTAGATGCAGAGGAGGCAATCCAATTAGTGCCTCTAATGCGACCGTTGGTGTAGTTCTTAATGCTCCAGTGATGGCAATAGCAGCCATTCTCTGTATGCGACTAAGTTCTTTCCTAGCTGTAATGAGTGCTGTTCTGGTCCACCAGACCNGCCATTTTTTAGTAGTTAATAGTACCTATGTTTTATAATTAAAAAGAAAAAAGAAATTAATCATATCCCCCACTCATCATTCTTTTATAATAATTTAAATAATAATAATAATATTATTATTATTTCTGATTGATAAATGTTTTTTTAGATGATAAGTTTGCATCAGATATTTGTCAACTACGAATGAAACCGGATGATTTTAATCTCATTAAGGTTATTGGACGAGGTGCATTTGGGGAAGTTCAATTGGTATGTCAGCATGAATTTACAAAGATGTATACAATTTTATAAGAATTAAAATATTGGGCTCTTTAAAAAATGTCTTATAAACTGAAATATTTATTTGAATTAGTCAATGCTAAAAACAAATAAATGTATAAAATTGAAGACAATAGTCATTATTGTTAAAACTGTCATAGTTTTATCTCAAATTTTTCTAGGTTGTAACCATTAATTTCCACATTTATATTGACTAATTATAAAAATTTATTTGTATGAAATATTTTTGTTTCCTTGTAATTTGAGTTGTTGGCTCAACTAAATTTTTTAAGATAATTTATCAAAAATCAAATTTATTTAGTTACATATATATTAAAATTAATTATATAATTGATATTTAATATTATATAATTTTAGGTTCGCCATAAATCAAATAAAAAAGTTTATGCCATGAAACTGTTGAGTAAATTTGAAATGGTATGTATTGTATTTTATCTAAATATATGTATATTTTATTTCAAAACTAGTTATTGAAGTCTCTTGGTGATGGACAACCCCATTCCAAAATATATGAAGTCAATAAACTTTCTTTTTGAAATGGTTTCTATACCATAAGCCTAAATAGGCTGTAAAAATAATTTAGAAAAATGTATTTTTTTTCAACTGTATGGTGAATTAATACCAGCCAATGAATATCTTGGATTAATGTATCTTATCCAAATAATAAATACAGTGGTTTTAAGTTTGTCTTTTGTATTAGTTATTATAGCCTTTGTTTCTATTGTTTCTAAATTGGCTAATGGTAACTCATCTGACTATTAATAGTTACAGGCAGAGTTTGGCAGCATTTGAAATGTCTGCTATGTTATTATATTTTTCTTTCTTAATATTAATTTTTATAGTTTTAAATATAGTTTAAATATATAATTTATAGGTAATAAGTAATAATTTTGGGTTAATATTTTTATTTCAGATAAAACGATCAGATTCTGCATTTTTTTGGGAAGAACGAGACATAATGGCACATGCTAATTCTGAGTGGATTGTTCAATTACATTTTGCATTTCAAGATCATAAATATTTATATATGGTGATGGATTATATGCCAGGTATATTTGTTAAATTAGTTAAGTGCTATCTTTCTGTACATAATGCAAACCTACATTTGATATAAAAACTTCAAAAATTTATTAAATATCAACTTAATTTTAATTAGAGTTGTTTATATAATATTTTTTCTCTTATTCTGTTATTTGTTTTTAAAATAAATGTTTTAATAATATAAAAATTGTTGAGAAAAAAAATGTAAAATATTGTGAGGATTAATTATAGTATTAAAAGTTCTTAATAGATGTGTTTCTTGTATGTATAAAGTGTCTTATAAGTGAATTCTATTTAGCAACTACTTAATATTTTGTATATACATTGTTTATGATTGTCATATTTACAGACTTGAGTTATAAAAATCTTAAAAGTATACTTTTTACTTAATAAAAATTTTAAATAATTTTTTTACAAAAACATAATAAATCTTGATTAATTTAAAGTATAATGTAAACAAAATGTTAGTTACTACTATTTTTTCTAAAAAAATATTAATTATTAAATGGTATTTTGATACTATTTAAATAAAGTTTTTCTTTATTTAATTAGATGGAAATTGCTGACTTTCAAGTATTACTATTTTTTCTTGCTTATTTATCTCAAGCATAGTTTTTAAGAGAAGATGTTAAAATAGAATAATAATAACTTGAAAGCATTTTAATAATTAAAAAGATGATTGTAAAATATTGTTTAATTTAAAATTGAAATATCTGAATATTTTGAGTCATTATAAATATATACGAAGTATGTTCAGAACGTGACAGGAATTTTTAAATTTAGTGGGTTTAGAGAATCTGATTATCAAATTTTTTTTTCAATGTTTGTACACGTGTCCTTGAAGTATGAGAAAATTTTCAGCTGGATTCATTTTTTACTTTGTCAATGGTAACAAAGTGTGTGAAATGTCTGCCATGAGTAAAACAAGAGTTTACAAGTAATAAAAGTGTTTAAAAAATGAGTGTGAAGACATTGAAGATGATGAACGTCACAGCACTTCAACAACTTATGAAAACGTGAAAGAAATGGTTATGAATGATCGGCGAATCACAATTCAGAGCAGTAGCTGATAATGTTGGAATATTGATTAGCTCATGCCTTAAAATTTTTTCACGAATGAAACGTATTGCAGCAAAAATTGTTCCGAAATTATTGAATTTTGAACAAAAACAGCAGCAAATGGAAGCTGTTTAGGAGTCACTTAATGAAGTCAACAATAATGCAGAATTACTGAAACGTGTTATAACAGGTTACTAAACTTGGGTTTATGTATACAACGTCGAAACTAATACTCAAATGTCCCAGAAGAACTGTTCTTCAATTTTAATAGCATAGTACATCATGAATTCTTGACACAAAGTCAAACAGTCAATAGAGAGTACTACTTACAAGTTTAACCCCATTTGAGTGTAGCAATCTGAAAAAAACTCCCGGATTTGTGACAAAACAATTTATGCCTCTTGCACCACGATAATGCACCTGCTTTCACTTCAATGCTTGTTCTTGAATATTTGGCCAAAAACAATATTTTAATGATGCCCCAGCCTCCATATTCGCTATACATTATATGACTTTCTATAGTTTATATGGTTTCATATGACTTTTCTATTTCCAAAAATAAAAATAACTTTAAAATCATAGATGACATTAAAAGCACATCACTGAAGGAGTTAAAAGCTATCCCAAAGATGGAATTTGAGAATTGTTTTGAGGATTAGAAAAAGCGTTGGCACAAGTGCATAATATGTAATGGAGATTTTTTTGAAGGCGACAAGATTAATGTAGACGAATAAATAAATATTTTTTTAAAAAACGAAAATTCCGGTTATTTTCTAAACATACCTCGTAATTGAGTATCATACAGAAAGTAAGGTTACAACATTTATGAAAAATTTAATAATGCATATATTTAAACAAAATTTAAAGAATATATTAATTTATTTTTCAACGTATCATCATTTAGTTTGAAACATTTTTTAGCTTGGGTATCAAGTTTTGTACTGAATAAATCTACTGTCATCCATACAAGCAGTGTGAGTTTTTGCTTATTTTGTTGTCATAAAATAAGTTTTAATTGGCCAATGATATTAAGATCTTGTACAATAAATTTAGGGAAAAGTGCGAAATGAGTGCCAATGTGACTCTCACAGACCTTCATGAATATTTTCCAAAAATTCGAAGTCTTAGTATAATTGTATCAGAAAAATTTGACGACAAAATATTGTGTGCGAGACCCCAAAACACTTGTCTTTTGCAGAAACTCTTATGCTATTTGGAAGGAATAATGTAAGTCACTCACCTTATCCCCCAATTAGGCAACATCCAATATTCATCAAATCAAAGGAGTTTTTTGGTGGGTAATGTTTTGTCAACTACAAGAAGGTCTAAAAACAAGTGGTAGATGTAGTCAAAATTAGATTAAAATATTCTTTAAATATTCTGTGAATTTCAATTAAATATTTGCATTATTCAATTTTTCATAAACATTGTAACCTTACTTACCTCACAATACTTACATAATAAAATACTTTTTTTATATGAATTTTATTCCTCTATTTCATCTTTTGGTAGGAGGCGATCTTGTAAATTTGATGTCCAACTATGATGTTCCTGAAAAATGGGCTAAATTTTATTGTGCAGAAGTAGTACTAGCATTAGATGCAATTCACTCCATGGGATTTGTTCATAGGTTGAGTAGATATTATCATCAAAATTGTTTAAAACTAAAATTTATATTCATTGTAATTGTAGAGATGTTAAACCAGATAACATGTTATTAGACAAATTTGGCCATCTAAAATTAGCTGACTTTGGAACTTGTATGAGAATGGGAGTGGTAAGAATATTAGTTATAAATGTATAAAATATTTAAATAATATCTAATGTTTGCAAGCTAATTGACCTAAACCTAAGCAGCTTTTTACCAAAAATATTCAATTTCTTTTGATTTGAATTTTCTATGAGTCATTTTTATGTTTTAATAAAATAATCTTTAAAGTATTGTTTATGTTACATTAATCTGCAAACAATTAGTATAATAAAATTGCATTACTAACTATAAAAACCTAATTTCCATCAGTGTTTTCTGATATTTTATAATTTTTCAAACCTAAATTATTTTAAACTTGAAGGATGGAATGGTTAGATCAGACACAGCTGTAGGTACACCTGATTACATTTCTCCTGAAGTTTTAGAATCTCAAGGAGGAACTGGAACTGGCGAGCATGGTGTTTACGGAAGAGAATGTGATTGGTGGTCTGTTGGTGTTTTTGTTTATGAAATGTTGATTGGAGATACACCTTTTTATGCCGATTCTTTAGTTGGGACATACAGTAAAATAATGGACCATAAAAATTCTTTAAGCTTTCCTTCGGACATTGAAATTTCTCAAAATGCAAAATCTTTAATTTGTGCTTTTCTTACTAATAGGTAAACATTTATAATTTAATACTAATAGCTATATTATTACTTAATATTGGCTCTATTTTAGTAATATTTTAAATTAATCATAATTTATGTTTAGAAAAAAGCGATTAGGAAGAAATGGAATTGAAGAAATAAAAGAACACCCATTTTTTCAAAATGATCAATGGACATTTGATAATTTGAGAGATTGTAATAAAGAAATATATAGTTTTTTAATTTTAGTCATGGTTGTTTTCGTTAAAAAAAAAATATGAATTTTAGGTGTACCCCCTGTTGTTCCTGAATTAAATGGTGATGACGATACTAGTAATTTTGATGATGTCGAAAAAGATGATGGACCCGAAGAAAACTTTCCAATTCCTAAAGCATTTGCAGGAAATCATTTACCTTTTGTTGGATTTACATATTCTAGAGACTACCAGTAATTTTAATGATTTATTTAATAACTTTGCTGTAATTTTATAAAAAAAAAAATAGTATTAATTAATATAATTGTTTTTTTAGACTTTTAGGAATCAATGCTATAAATGGGGAATGTTTACACGATACTGTAAGTATATTTTATTGATTAATTACTTTATGTTATTGACAGTCTCAAAATTAAATTTATATTTTTCAAATTAAAGTTAGTAAAAAGCTTGAGCAATGTTATTTTTATGGGCATTATTTTTAAATACTGACAAGTAATTTTTAGTATAAATAATTGGTTGCCTTAAAAAATAGCCATAACATTTTACTTAATTTTTAATAGTCCATAAAAAATAAAAATCTTAGCTCTTATATTTTTTTTTCTGTGCTTCATACTAACATATTTTTCTATTTTATTTTTTCCATGTGCTGCCTTACATATAAATATAACAGGTGGATTGTGGTGTAAGTAGTCTATTTTTGGTTTGTTAAATATAAATAATTGCATACAACATGAGTTATTAGTTAAAATCCTATTTCATTAAACTAAAATTAACTTATGATTGTAAAATTTTGTCTAAAAAAAAAAAAGCATTTTAAAAGTTTTTGGTGATAAATGATCTAGTTATAATAGATAATATATTTATTAAAACTTTTACTGAAGAATATTTTGTAAATCTTGTTTTAATATAGAAAGAAGTTTTTTATATTGGTTCTCTTAAAAAAGAACTTGACAATGAAAAAAAAGAATTATCAGCTACACGTGAACAAAATACAAAACTTTTAGAGCAGCTACAAGATGGTGCTAATAGAGAGTTAATGTTAAAACAAAAGACAGCTGCACTGAATACTTCCATTGCTAATCTCCACAAAGATTTAAAAGATGTAAGAATTACATTGATACTATCTACTATAATTCTATGGCTTTTTTCAGAAGTCATAAAAATGTTATCATGAGAAATATGATATATCATTTTAATTTAGTTGTATTTTCTGTAATATTTTAAAAAATAGTTAATTTTTTTGTGAAGGTTTATTTTATGTACTCCATTGAAAGTCCATTTGCATTACCATTAAAATTAAAAGTTTGTTTTTGCTCTTCTGAAAAATGATATATCTTTGATAAATAGCGATAGAATTATAAAAATGTAAAAAAAAATTGTATATTTTAATAATAAAAATTAGATGAATATTTATATTTATTATAATAAAACAGTTTAGAGTGTTCAATTTTTTTTTTTTATAAAATTTTATTATTAGGCACAACGTAAGGCTGATAGTGAATGTGAAATGCGTAGAAAAACTGAAGCAACTTTACAAGAACTTAAACGTAAACTTGATGAAGAACAAAACAAAAGAACAAAAGAAATGAACAATAATCAACAACATAATGACAAAATAAATTCATTAGAAAAACAAGTAAGTACCTATTTTTCTATTGAAATTAAAAATAGAATAAGTTTAGCTACCTTAATAGATTACCCCTCTTATACTAAAACAACTCATATTTAATGAATAACAGTGTGCATCAAGCACTGACGTATTACCAACGCGATACTATAGTCCTTCAAAAAAAATTATAGCCAATAAAATCAAATTTGAGGAAATAAAAAAAAACGATTTACATTAATAAAATAATTATTGTGTGTTTGTTTTATTAGGTTCTTATTTACTGGTATTTTGACATTAAACAATGTGTTTAAGTATGCTGATAAAGTATTTGATATGTCTCGATTTTATAAAAATAGTGGCATAGGTCTCCTTTTTACAAAGTTTCATTTACTGAAAATAAGTTAGCAATTGTTATACCCTCAACATTAGTTTATTGGCAACTACCTTTGATATACCTATTAGGAAATATAACACTTATTATGATAAAAAATTTTATTTAAATTTTTGTTTTTTAGATGTTGGAATTACAAGAAAAATTAAAAATTGAGACTGATACTTGTACAAAGCTACGTAAACAGGCTGCAGAATTAGGAGTTGCTAAAACAGCTAATGAACGAATGGCAGCAGAGTTACAAACTATGTTAACCAATTTACAGCTTAATCGCGATTCTCTTCATGAAGAATTAGCTACCTTGCAAGGACAATTATCACAAGAAAAAAGTTCTTTACGTGATTTGCAAATAGAACTTGAAAGTAAATTTTAATATAAAAAATTCCTTAACTCTTTATTAAAAATTACATGCTTTTTAGGTCGACTTCAAGCTTGCCAAAATGATCTTATGCATACTAAAATAAGGGAACAAAAATTAAGTGAGGATAACAGACAACTTGGAGAGAGAACGTCACAGTTAGAAAAAGAATGTGCTTCTTTAGTCTTAGAACTTAAAACGCTACAGTCTAGATACCAACAAGAAGTGAGAGCTCATGAAGAAACAGAAAAAAGCCGTTTAGTGAATAATGAGCAAGCCAATCTTGAAATAGTTAAAGGTACAATGAAATTAAATTTTAAATTTTATTTTAAGTACATATATCAATCCAGTTTATCATTGGAATTTGACTGATTTTTAATAATAATCATATGACTATATATCAAAAACATAACTTTTAAAAGAAAATATCTCTGTATATATTTGTTTTCCAATTTTTTTTCATAGAAGTCTATCTCTTTAGATAAAAAAACATTTTAAGTGCCTCCATTATATAAATTAAATTAATGTTTGAATATTTCAAATTAGAGAATTTTATTAAATATTAGAGAATTTTCCTTCAATTGAAGTAATAAAATATCATCAGTAGTTATTTTAATTACTGATAATATTTAATTAAAAGTATCTTAAACATAATATATTATTAAAATAAAATGATATTTAGTACCTATGAGTTAATATAAAAAATTGTTTAATCATATTGACAACATTTTCAAAACAACTAAGGGTTTGTACAAAAATTTGAGATCCACAATTTATGATTGCTGTTTATAATAATGAAATTTATTGATAGAATAATAGTATTATAAAAATGTATTTATTTATTTATTTATTTATTATGTATTTATTTACATGCTGTAGTAAAAATGGATTATATATTTAAAGGTAATTTGTCTTTTTCTTGTTTTGTTTTATATTTCATGAGAAATTATAAATTTCAGCACTTCAAACAAAGTTAAGCGAAGAAAAGAATGCTCGTCAAAAAGCAGATTTTCTTGCTCAAGAAAAAGAAAGACAAATATCAATGTTATCTGTTGATTACCGTCAAATACAGCAAAGATTGCAAAAGCTTGAAGGGGAACACAGACAAGAAGTTGAAAAGGTTTTCATAAATTTTAAATGAATTAATATCTATTAAAATTGTAATATTTTCTTATGAAACATTCTGATTTCAAGTCCATAATACATACGAGGATAAAATAATTATTGTCCAGATAGGCTGAAATGTAAAGTTATTGGTAGGGGTATACTGCTCTACATCTTGAAAGTGCAGTGATTCCAAAAAGAAAATTTTGGGGAATTTAGTTTTAAATATTGATTTTCTATAATGCCATGGATACACTACATTTTAAAATAAATGTTTAAGGGGTTTGTAGTGGTTTTTAATGAATTTTACCTTAGGAAAAAAACCAGAAATTATTCAATTATTAATAAGTATTAAACATATCCTTATTTTTCATAACATTCCAAAAGTTGTTACACTTCAGGTAGCTAGGCACTATTGTTATTGATATTTTTTTATCTAATTTATCAATAATTGATACTATAATAGACTTTAAAGTTTTCCTTTATAATAACTAATTAGACTATTCTTTTTATGTCTACTAAATTTTTTTATTTTTCTATAATTGTAAGAAATACTATATTTCATTTTAAAAAGATCAACTTTCCTATCATACACTTAATAATTCCCTATTAAAAACTTTTAAAGTAAAGAAATTAGCATCTCATGTATGATATATAAGGAATATAACCTTTCATAATGTATTTTGGAATTGAAAATTAGCATATCCTTCTTAAGACATAATCCTATGAATGCCTCTGCCCTATAATAAAATTAATCTTTATCAATTAGGACTGAAACCTTTATTTTTAAGAACATACATATAATAAAAATATGAAAAGAACCTGAACCAAACCAATATCATAAAATAATTTTTTAAAGATTCCAAAATTATAAACTATTTGGTTCCCCAATCTTTATAGAAATTACTGCTACTTACTTAAACCTAGATGTGTTTCCTTAAGGTGTTAATAAAACTGTGCACTTTACTTCGTAGGTGTGCATAGCCTTGTCTAGGGAAGTAAGGACCAACAATGGCCTAAATTGCTATCTTAAGGCACACTTTACAAAAAATGTAACTTTCATAGAGCCTTATTTAGTTGTTCCTAAATATTTTATAATTAAGTGTTTACCCTATCTAATACTCCCTTCCTTTTTATTGGTAGAGAGATTGTTAAAACATTTTACTTTATCTTACATTTACTCAAAAAATACCAACAATTAACAAAGTTCATGATAATTATAATAATAAGCAAAATATATTTTTAATTTCTGAGTTAAAACATATTTATATTATATTTTTTAGCTTCGATGCGAAGCTGAGAAGGTATTGGTTTTACTAAGATGTGTTTATTTATTTATTTATTTTTTTGTGTCTGTTACCACTTTTTCTCTGCTCTCACCGAACCGATTTCTTTCAATGATACGTCAAAAGATCTCAAATCGTATCTAGTCGAAGACATTACCCTCAAAAATTTAAAAAATTCCCTCATTCCCCGTAAATGGGGGAAACCTCCAAAAAAATTACAAATTTAAAAATCGCTAATTTTTGAAACTTTCAATTTTTTTTACTTAAAATTGCCATAACTTTTTTAAAAATAACCAAATCAATATAATTTTTTTATATAGATGCATGATATCATTACCTTTCATTTGGTATATTTTTTTTTTATATGTAACCCTTTACCTGTCCACACGGGGTGATTTAAAATGACAACTTTTTCACAAAAAATTTAATTTTTCAACTTAACTTTTGAAAGTGTTCTGGAAAGTCTGACATTTTTATATATATCTTAAATTAAAGCTAATGTAATATACTTTATCATGAAAAAAAAAGTTTCGGACTTTATTTTATCTTCATGGTGAAAATGGCTACCAAATGCAATTTTTGTGTGAAAATTTTCGATTTTGTATTTTACATTTTAACTTTATTATGCTATAACTATTTGAAAAATGTATGGATCAACAAAATTTTTTTATGAAAAATAATATTTTTTAATAATCCCTTTTTCATTTGACATACTTTATCTTAATCAGGATATTAATAAGGAACTAGCAGATCATTTAGCTTTTGGAATAATACATCAATTTTTTAAAATTAAATACTATCTAAAGATTTGCATCGAAGCGTTTTTTTTTGATAGTGATTTTAATCACTGTCAGATATCATTATACTTGATCCTACTTTGCCATGTCACCACTGTGCCGCGACCCCCCTGTGCTGGATTTTTTGTGTTTGTCCATATAAATACTCAGCTTTTTGGGGCGATTTTGAACTTAATGTAGTTGAACCAATCATCGTCATCTTAAATTGAAAAACCTTAAATTTTAGAAATCTAAAAAACTGTCTTAAAATTTCACTACTGTAAAAAATAGTATTTTCAAAAAAAGGTTTTTGCATTTTAAAACTGCTATACCTACCATTTTTTTTTATAAACTCTGACTCTAAGGAAATTTTAATCAACATAAATAACATAACATTTAAATAAATTTTAAAAAAATTAAAGAAACATAAAATTAATTAATATGTTTCTTTAATTTTTTATAACATTTAAATATATTATAATGTAATCTAAATATTTATTTTTTATAGTTTAGCATTAAAAAGGATAAGGAATTTTACTCATTATCATAGACAGTTAAAAGGAGACTACTCTCGCCTCGCATAAAACCCTTATAAGTATATTTCAAATCTTCTTCTTCTTTCTTCATTTCTTCCCCTTAATCCCAACTACTTGGGGTCGGCCACCCTTATCCTAAACTTACACTTGACACAATCTCCCACATTATCTACGCTCACATCAGCTGTCCTCAAATCGCATTCAATAGCATCTCTATATCTCTTTTTTGGTCTTCCTCTACCTCTTCTTCCTTCAACATTCATTTCTATAACTGTTTCTTACAGCTTCCGATTCTTCTATCCTCATAACATGACCAAACCATCTAAGTTTATTTTCTCTCATCTTATCCACAATCGACGCTGCACCTATACTCCCTCTTATATGCTCGTTCCTTATCCTTTCTTCTCTAGTCATTCCACTCATCCATCTAAGCATTCAAATCTCTGCTACACTCATTCTCTGCTCTACTTTCTAGGCAACTAACTTCTCATTAATGCCCATTTTAAAACCTCTCACAGTACTCTGTCATACGCTTTCTCCAAATTTATAAATACCATACACAGCTTTTTCTTCTTTTTCTTAAACTTTTCTATTATTTGCCTCACACAAAATACTGGCTTCATTGTTGACTTACCAGGCATAAATCCAAACTGGTTTTTAGATACCGATATCTTATTTCTTATTCCCTTACCTTTTCCCAAATTTTCATACTATGACTCATAATTTTTATGCCTCTATAATTTCCACACTCCTGTATGCCTCCTTTACCTTTAAATATCGGTACCACAATACTATTCCTCCATTCATTTGGTATTTTCCTTCTAATAAGATTTTATTTAAAAGTTTCTTCACCACCTTATGCCAACACGGCCTAATATTTTCCATACATCTACTGGCACTTCATCTGGTCCTACTGCTTTATTCTTTTTCATTGATGCCACTGCCTTCCATACCTCTCATTAATTCTCACTACCAGTCATTCTACATAATATCCTCTAATGTCTCTTTTGGGTACTCCTCATTCAATAATTTTTCAAAATACTCTTTCCACCTTTTTTTCACATCATTATTACTCGAGAGTACTTTATTATCAACATTTTTTATACATCTTATATAATGATAATCTTTAGACCTTTTCTCTCTTATCTTTATCTATAGATTTCTTTCTTGCATTTCTTTGTTCCTAGCCTATCATATAACTTATCATACCTCCTTAACTTCACTTTACTTACTGCACACTTGGCTTCTTTGCACAAGCGTTTATACTCCATCCCAGTCTTCTCTCCTTTTGCTCTTCTGCCATATTTTGAATTGATTTTTCTTACTTTCTATGATTTTTTGAACGTCCTCATCCCACCACCAGGTTTCCTTGTTTCCTGGCATTCTAGTCCTACTCTTACCAACAATCTCCTTTGCAATATTCTTTACACTACTATCAAATCTATTCAACACATCATTTATATTTCCCTCGACATTCCACACCGTCCTCTCTTTTATCGTCTTTACAAAATCTTTTTCATTTTCCCTTTTCAATTTCCACCTCCAGATTTTCTATTCCCCCTATGTTTCTTCTATTTTTGTTTATTCTCTTTCCGGTACACCACAACTCCATTTCCATCAGTCTATGTTGCCTAGTATAACTTTATTAAGTATAATCTTTTACTCGCTTTACGCTCTCTCTCTTCCACATAAAATAATCGATCTGTGATCTATTTCTTCTACTCTTATTTGTTATATAATGTTCTTCCCTCTTTCTAAAATAAGTATTAACCACAGCAAGATCATATAATACTGCAAAATCCAGTATTCTTTCTCCAGCCTCTTTCTTTCTACTAAAACCATACCCTCCGTGTACTCTTTCATATCCTCTCCTATCATTACCTACATGTCCATTCATATCTCCACCTATCACCACATCCTCATTGCCAAGTACCCCTAGCATCACCTCATCCATCTTTCTCCAAAACACTTCCTTGTCTATTTCATCACATCCCACTTATGGTGCAAAGGCACTTATTACATTCAGCACTTTTTCTTCGAACATCAATTTTACGACCATAATTCTGTCACTTTTCCTAGCTACTTTTACTACTCTACTTTTCATCTCCTCATCCATTATTATCCCTACACCATTCTTTGTACTAGACTTACCTGAGTATATTATTTTATAACCCCCATCTTTTTCCCTTGATTTCTTTCCTTTCCACTTAGTTTCCTGCACACAACAAATATTAACTTTTCTCCTCTTCATTACTTCTACTAATTCTCAACTTCTACGAGTTAATGTTCCAACATTCCAAGTACCTATTCTTACTTTATATCTATATGTCTCCCTTATACACGAATCCACCCTAGATATAAGTGGTGATGTCCCTATAACGTTGACACTATAAGCTTTGAGTAGACCTGTACACATGACTGGTGAAACAGCTACCGCACATGTTGTCCGGCTGGTATCAAACACTTTATTCCTTAGGCCTTTTCCGTTTTAAACTACTTTCTGTTGTCTCCGCGTACATCCCAGATGGGACAATCCGTCTAAGTTTTGTTCAGGATTTTTTATACTTTTATGATAAAGATTTTTACGCCGGCAACTATTAATTCTCAGATATTAAATATCAATTTCATACTATATTTAATTGCTATCATAAATATTTATTCATATATTACTCTTATAAATCATAAAACTTGTAATTAGGATATAAATAAGAAAATAAGAGATCATGTTGCTTTTGGAATAATCCACCAACTTTTTAAAATTAAACACTATTTACAGATTTGCATCGAAGCGTTTTTTATGATAGTGATTTTAATCACTGTCAGTTAAATCAATACTGAACCCAACTATGCCACGTCACCACTGTGGCAACACCCCACTGTGTTGTGTTTTTTCATAAAAAAAATTTCTAAATTTCGAAATAGCCTTTTTTTTATTTCTTTTTTTATATATATAAAAAATATTAATCGGTTGATAACAAATTTAAAATAAGTACTTATTTAGTACAAACATTTAAATACATAGAATTAGTATGTAGTACAGGTAGGTATAGCTTTTATTGGCATATGTGAACAAGAAAATGGCTATTTTAAAATTTTGAATAAAAATTTTTTTAATAATGACAAAAAAGAAATATACTTTTAATATAGTTTAAAATTTAAAAAGTTATTTTTTTTGTAAAGTGACTCAAAATATTTACTGGTCAAATGTTATTAGAGATGTTAAAACCTAGTGAAACACCCTATATATTGTTAAATACAATTTTTGGTAGTCTAACTAATAAATTATTAAAGTTTTATGTATATTTTAATAAAATATCTGTATAGAGCAAAGCTTTGCATGCTCAAATTGAACAAGAAATGACCAAGAAATCTGCGTTACAAAGTGAATTAGGTAATCATTTATCTGAAGCTACACAATTACGAGCAAGAGAAGCACAACTTTCACGTGAGGTAACCTTGCTCAGAGAACATAAACGAGCCATTGAAGAAGAATTGCACAAATTAAAGACGGAACACTCAGTAACAGATTTACAAATGAAAGAATTACAAGATCAACTTGAAGCTGAACAATATTTTTCGGTAAGTAAATAACAAAATTATTCAAGTTAAACAATTAGTAGACATTATAGTAATATATTTACATTTTAGACATTATACAAAACACAAGCTGCTGAACTTCGTGAAGAAGTTGAAGATAGAGGAAAAGGTGTTGCAGAATTAGAGGAAGAACGAGGATCTTTAGCACATCAGTTACAAATTGCCTTAGCAAGAGCTGACAGTGAAGCTCTTGCCAGATCTATAGCTGAAGAAACAATAGCAGATCTAGAAAAAGAAAAAACCTTAAGAGAACTTGAATTAAGAGATAGTCAAAGCCGCCATAGAAACGATTTAGAATCTAAAGAATTTACTCTGAATAATGTATGTATTTTATTCAACACTAAAACTTAATAGACTAAATATATATATCTTAGCATAAAATATTGTAACAGATTAATTCCATTAAGTTTTTTTTTTTCTATAAAAATCTTGGTAAAACAAAATTTTTATTGTGGTAGTTCTCTATATTTAGTTATGTTTTAGGTAGACTGAGACAAAAAATTACAATTACAATTAAAATCACAATTTATTTTATACAAAGTTTAAGTTTCATGTTTTAATTCTGTATATTTTTTAGCTCTCAAATCTAATACTTGAAAACTTCTAAGCTCACAAAATTAACTGTATATTATTACAAATGTACTTCAAATAGGAAGCACTTTAATATATATGGAACTGAATTGAAATATTTCATTAATATAACACAAATAGTTTGAAATGTATTTATTTTTTTCAATAAAAATATTTTAATTTAGTCAAATTAAATAGACACTAGCATAAATAATTTAAAATACTTAAATTTTTTTTAAAAATTGTGTTTAATATAATTTTACAAAAATAAAAAAAAATAGTAATTGAAAAGAGTAAAACAAAACAAAATTTTTTTTGTTTTACTTTGTTCGAACTGATCAACAGTTGGATGTTGCTTATGAAACAGTATTTTGTGTATAACAGTGTAGTCAATTCATTTTTCTTATTTTTATAGTTTCTAAAGTAAGCATAACAATGTTAATAACATAAATCAAATGTATCATATTGAAATTTGCCTTAGTCTTCCCTAATTATAATTTAACTTTTATTAAAAATTAAATGATAATTTTTTATTAACTTTTGCTTTAGTTACGAGAAGCTGAAAATGAATTAAAAAAAAAAATGGAACAATTAATTAAAGAAAATGAAGATTTGAAGAATCAGCTATGTGTCATACAAGAAGGTATTAAAATATTCACATTATTTATGAATACTAATTATCAAATTAATAATATAATGGTTTTTTTTTATATTAATTAAAAATATTATAGAAAGTAAAAAGAACTTTATTGAAGAATTAGAAAAACTTCGTAAACAGTTAAAACAAGAACAACTTTTGAAAGCTCAGGCCGTTAACAAACTAGCTGAAATCATGAATAGAAAAGATAACACTACAAAGGGAGGAAAAAACAAAGTTTCATCCGCTGATTTACGTAGAAAAGAAAAAGAATGCAGAAAACTTCAACAAGAGCTCACTCAAGTTCATATCTTAATATTATATTTGCCTTCACTGTAATTTTTAATATTTGAATAACTTTATAGGAGCGTGAAAAATACAATCAGGAAGTCACAAAATGGCAGAAAGAACTTCAGGAACTTCAATCTCAAGTTGTTGAAGAAAATGCTAGCAAATTAAGACTTCAAATGGAGTTAGATTCTAAAGATTCAGAAATTGAACAACTCCAAGGAAAGCTCACTACTTTAGGTAGTGAAACTGCATCATTAAGCAGTGCTGATAATGATGACATTGATATTTATACTCAAGGTATATTAGTTATTAAATTAAGTATCAACACTTTTTTGTTGAAAAATACATTAGCTTAAGAATAATTAAAAATTTCATATAATTTTTTAATTTTAGAATCTCGATTAGAAGGTTGGCTATCAGTTCCTAATAAGCAAAATATTAGACGACATGGTTGGAAAAAACAATATGTTGTGGTATCATCAAAAAAAATATTTTTTTATAATTCTGAGAGTGACAAACAAAACACTGATCCTATTTTAATAATAAACTTAAAGTAAATAAAAAAAAATATTAATTTTTTATTTGAATTAATTATTGTATCCTTTTTAATTTTATTAGTAAAGTATTTCATGTACGATCAGTAACTCAAGGTGATGTCATTCGTGCTGATGCCAAAGATATTCCTCGTATATTTCAAGTGAATGATTATACAGTATACTATATTTCCTGATAAATTGTTAAACCTTTGTTCATATTTTCAGTTGCTATATGCTGGTGAAGGAGAGGCTAGAAGACCAAATGATAGTGGTCCTGAACATCTCTCTAGAAGTACAAGTGTAACCAGCACAATTGATGAAAAACCCGGTACTATTACATTAAAAGGACATGAATTTGTTCAAATATCATTCCACATGCCAACTAATTGTGAAGTGTGTCCTAAGCCTCTATCAAATGTATTTAGACCACCACCAGCTTTGGAATGTAGAAGTATACATTTTTATTTTTAAACTCAGAAAACTTACATGAATATTTTCAACAAAACTATGTTTATTATCATTAGATTGTAGAATCAAAGTACATAAAGAACATTTGGAGCGTAAAGAAGATGCTATTGCTCCTTGCAAACTTCATAATGATCCAACATCTGCAAAGGAGTTATTGATATTAGCACCTAGTCGAGATGATCAAAAATTATGGGTTCAACGATTAAGCAAAAAAATACAAAAATTTGGCTATAAGGCTAACACTAATCCTGACGGTTCAAAAATTTCTCCTAGGTAATAAACTCATTTAAAATAAAATAATAAATTAAAATTAGGTTAATAATTGAACATTTTATTTTTATGCCTAATTATTGTAAAAGGGTGTTCAAAAAAAAAAAAAAAATTAAGATAAAAATTGTTCTAATTCAATTCAAAATCAATTCAAAATCAATTTTTTAATTCATATAATAAAGTACTCATGTTAAGTTTACATATGAACATTAAGTTTTAATGATTACAATTTTGGATTAATTTAATATAGTTGTACAAAGTTATTATTCTTTATTTATTTTAATTATTTATCTTAATGTTTAACATCATCTTTTTTAAGTTATATTGGTAGTGTTTTTTTCTTCAAGTGTACCTTGTAATGTTGGTAGTGTATTTTAAGGTGAATAATTCTGAATTGAATATTCTGCATTTTATTGTAATTTTTCTGACTAATATATATTCTCTAGTTTTCATAAAGTAATCTTCATTCGTGATTCATAGGTAAAATTAAGTGAGAAAAAAATATCCAATTCTTGATCTGGTTAGAATAATTGTGTCACTTTGTGAGTGTTTATTGTTGAAATTTATTTGTTTAAATTAATTTTATTTTAGTTTATTTGATATTGAGGTTTAGTCTCACTTCGTTTACAAAGATAGTATTAGTTGAATATTTTTATTAGGTTATGGTAACAGCTCTATCAGCTTCTTCATCGTCTTTTATTCCTATGTGAAAGGAATACCAGATGAATTCAATGTTCTTTCTAGAATTTGTGATAATTCATTATTAGACTTATTGTTCTTGAGTGAGAAGAGATCACTAATTATTACGCTTCATTAACCATATACTTCAGTTGTATTTATGTTATGAGAGTTTTGTGATTTAAATTTTTTAGAAGAGTTATTTGTAAATGCAAACTTAAATTATGAACATTTTTCGTGTTATCACCATCTAAGTTGTTTTGAATACTGTCTGAAACTGTTGATTGAATTTTCGTGTTTTAGGTAGTATTTTTCTATACCCTTATAGTTAATAGTCTATTTTCATATTCCAAAGCCAAGGTTTGGAATAAATGAATTTTGAATTTTGCATGTATAGCTTATTAGTTATTATAGTTTAATATTTAAATAATTTTTAATATAAATTTAAAAAGAGATGTTTATATTTGTTTGATTATTTTATTTTGTATAAATTTATCTTATTCTCATAATTTGCAAAATTATTTTGCCAGTAAAGCAGAGAATGGATTCACCAAAAGTATCCTATTCTGATACATTAGTAGTGAATTGGGTCTATTATTTTCTAGTTTTTCTGTGTTGATTATAGTTGATTAATGAGATAATTAGAAAATATATTTAATAAGAAATATACATTTTTGTTTTATTTGGTTAGAATTTTACTTTTAAATTCACGGTTAATTAAAATAGTTCTAAATTTGTAACAATTGAATAGTTTTTTTATTTTTTTAAATCTCAGTATATCTATTAGCTTCGATGCGAAGCTAAGAAAGTATTGGTTTAACTATGTTTTTTTTTTGTGTCACCACTTTTTCTCAGCTCTCACCAAACCGATTTCTTTTAATAAAAGATCACAAATCGTATCTAGTTGAAGACATTACCCTTAAAAATTGAAAAAAATTCCCTCGTTCCCCGCAAATGGGGGAAATATCCAAAAAAATTACAAATTTAAAAATCGCTAATTTTCGAAACTTTTTCAATTTTTTTTACTTAAAATTGCCATAACTTTTTTAAAAATAACCAAATCAATATAATTTTTTTATATAGATGCATGATATCATTACCTTTCATTTGGTATATTTTTTTTTTATATGTAACCCTTTACCTGTCCACACGGGGTGATTTAAAATGACAACTTTTTCACAAAAAATTTAATTTTTCAACTTAACTTTTGAAAGTGTTCTGGAAAGTCTGACACTTTTATATATATCTTAAATTAAAGCTAATGTAATATACTTTATCATGAAAAAAAAAGTTTCGGACTTTATTTTATCTTCATGGTGAAAATGGCTACCGAATGCTATAACTTATTGAAAAGTGTATGGATCAATACAATTTTTTTATGAAAAATAATATTTATATCCGTCTTTAATTCGACATACTTTATCTTAATCAGGATATAAATAAGAAAATAATAGATCATGTAGCTTTTGGAATAATCAACCAATTTTTTAAATTTAAACACTATTTAAATATTTGCATCGAAGCGTTTTTTATGATAGTGATTTTAATCACTGTCAGATATCATTATACTTGACCTAACTATGACACTCACCACTGTGCCGCGACCCCCTGTGCTGGGTTTTTTTTATATGCATGTGTGTGTAAATGTTTAAGTTTAATTTAGAAACCCATTGCAACTAAAATATTTTTTACTGAAACTATATTGTATAAAGTAATATGTTATTATAAGTGTTTGAATTTTGTCCATTAGAGAATCTACTCGTTCTACAATGAAATTATTCAGCTCTAATGCTGCTCACCAAAGATCTGCTACGTTGCCTTCTAATATGTCAAAATGAACTGAACGTAACATATAGTTATTATTATAAGCTAATTTTGAGTAATTATATACGTCACTGTAAGTATCATATTTATTTTCTAATTCTGATAATTAATTAATTTAAGATTTTGTTTGGGAGGTGATTATTCCAAGGTAACTTTCATTACCAACTCAATATGAAATATATATATATATATATCTACATCATGTAATTATTTTACATGATATTTTACTAGGGGATCTATTAATTTTGTATTTATATGTAATTATATGTATTTAAAATTTCTTTAAATTATTAATTATCAACATTGTCTAAATATCTATAATTATTATGTTTTAGGAAGTTATATATAAATTTATATATTTGATGGCATGTCACAGTAAGGTAATTTATTTAAAACGAAAACAAGTATATGTTTTGATTATTACAATTAGATTTAGTGCAACTTTAAATATTTTGTTTTGTATTTTTTATTTCCAATAGTTATATGTATATTTTATAGGTTTTAAAAACATATTATTAAAGAAAATTCTATGTTGCTTGAAATTGACTGATTAATATGTAATAATACAACATATTTTACTTCAGCTTTCAATTTGAAAAATAAACAATAACTTTTATGTAGTTAAAACTTAATATGTTATTCCTGTTAGTTAAAAAATCATAATTTTTAATTTTCTACAAATACGAATATGTATTAAATATAATAAAATTAACTTTATATTTATCAATATCATCAAAATTTATGTCATATGTCTAAAATGATGGCTATGTATTTTCAAATTTTTATCGATAACTATTTCAAAATATACTTAAAGAATATACATTAAAATAATAGTGAACATTTTTATAAAATTTCTTATATATTTTTACTTAAACTAACACTTAATAATGACACATATTTTAATTAATTTTTTTTTTTTACGAGTTTACCAGTTTATACATTTATGCATAATTTTGCAACTCTTAATAAATATTTTGTTATATATTATCAATGTTGACTATAATTTCAATATTAAAAGTCAATTTTTGTATTTTCAATTGATTTTAATATATAATTTTATAAGCAATAAGATTTTTAATTATGTCATGTTACCCTTTGAATTAATTTATAGATTAAAAATACATTAGATGATCTATATTAGTGTACTGTATTTAATTTAATTTATTTGTTTATATATTATAATTATAATTATAATTATAATTATTATTATTATTATTATTATTATTATTATTATGGATTTTGAGTTGTTTTTGTTTTTCTAATTATTTTTCCTTTAAATGTTACATTTCAAAAAATACATTTTATATTTATTAATAAACAATTTTTTCCTATAAGTGTTCAATATGATATTAGTATTTATATAAGAATAAGTACTTTAAAAAGTAATTAATTGTTTTAAAGAACAAATTCCAAAATTCTTATAATAAACATATGTTAGTAAAAAATAACAATTCTAAATTTATTAATATTATCCTTGATAAGAGAAATTTGCAATTTTTCAATCATTTTAATATGTAAAATTAATTTAATTGTAAAAATTGATTCAAGTGTTTTGTTATGAAAAGTGTATTTTATACAGTCAAAAAAAGGCCTTAGATATAAAAATACTTGTTTGCTCAAGTTAAAATTTACAGTAATCTATTGTGATAATCATTGTATTTGTTGAACAGTTGCTTTTAATTATGCACTGTTATTGAAACAATATAAATTTGTATTAGGTGTATAATAAAACATTTATTTAACTGTTAATAGTTAATATTTATTTCTACTTTGTAATTCAATTTTTGAATTTAATAAATTATGTTTTATTCAATAAACAAATTATGATTAAACTGTGTTTCAATTTGAATATAAGGTTGTGGCTATTTATAAAAAATCATTTTTATAAATTTCTGATTACTGATTAATTTAAATCAGTAATATATAATTTTTGTGAAACTTTATTCAATATTAAACGTTTAATTTTATTTATGTATTATTAATATTTATATTTTTGATTGTAAGCTGTTAATTATTATTATATATAATAATACTAAAATTATTGATTTTAAACAAATTATTATTTACACAATACTTTTATTTTATATTTATTAATTCAGTATTATTTCATTTTTATTTTTTAAATTGATTCATGTTAAATAATCAGCCAATTTAATGAATGTAGATAATAATATGAAGCAATAGTATACTTGTATGTGACTTTATTTTTCTGTGATTGTAAATTTTAAAATAATGTATTATATTAATTAGGCATTTATATTGTGCATATTTAAGCTAATAGTATATAGAATAATAATTTTATTTAGATAATAGACTATCTAAAAACGAATGAATATATATATATATATATATTTCTTGTATATATAACAGTAAATATTTTATATTTGTATACTTAACATTATTACATCTCTTACGGCTGATAGTGGAAAAATTGTACACCAATTTATATAATTTACTTATATTTATTTTAAATAAATAATACATGGAAATTTGAATTTATCATTTGATGAATGTGTTTTAACAATTGATCAAGTCCAGTACCAGATTAGAAAAAAAGAGTACCAATATTATTATCAAAGGGGTCCAATCACACCTAATTTTGGAGCCTTCAATAACCCTTATTGTTTTGCTCATTAATTTTATTTATTTGTTCTTCAAAACCATACTTACGGAAAGTATTCAAATCCCAAGTTATCTATAGAAGCAATAAAACCATGGGCGTTTTCCTTCAAAATTTCAGAAAAATTACATATATAATTGCATAAAAAGAAATTTTAGAAAGAGAAAAGTTAAATATAAGAAAAAAAAATTGAAGTTGTGCTTATGAATAAAATATCAATATCAGACAAACCATTAAATTTTTTAACTTAAAAACCTTTGTTGAAAACCAAAAACATCTTTATATTTATAACCAAGGCTCGTAATTTTATTCATTTTTTGATTCTTATAAAACAATCTAAGTCAGCTAAAAATCCATTTGATAAAATACAGTATAAAACTATCAAGTTTGATAGTGCATAAATTAGATGACACGAAATTATTCCCTATGAGGAGTTCTATTAAATCCCACCTCAGATTACAAATTAGCAAAATTAAATAGGTTGTTATATAAAAGTTATTTTTTGGAGGGGAGAAATTAAACAAAGCTCTCCAAAATACTTGATCAAATACGTCTATGTTTAATGAATATTTGTAGTTTCTTTTTAGTTTTTAAGTGCATAAACTAATGAGTCCTGTATATAATATACAAAGTGATTGATTAACTATGGCTCACGCAAAATCTATAAAAAAATAAAGTATACTTAATATATATCCATGTTTGCAGTTGAGTTCTGACGTTTCGGACTCATTGCAGAGTCCATCTTCAGAGTGATGGTTGCTACTGCAGATTTTTCTCTTCTTTGGTACTCCACGTCTTTTTCATGTTTTTTTATTCTTGTCGCAAGTAGCTAAACATGCCAAAAATAGAGGACATGACATACAATTTGATAAAGTAAAAATACTAAACAAAGAAACTCATTTTGGCAAACGGATGTACAAGGAAGCAATAGAAATCGAAAAATGTCCAGAAAATTTCAACAGAGAAGATGGATGGAAAATCAGCAAAACTTGGTTACCTATCATACACCAGACAAAAAGAAAATCAACAAACAACACCGAAAACTAGCAACCATCACTCTGAAGATGGACTCTGCAATGAGTCCGAAACGTCAGAACTCAACTGCAAACATGGATATATCCTCAAGCACTTCAAGCAACAAGACAATCCATGAAAGCTTTAACACATTCATACTTAATATATTTTTCCTTTTCAAAAAATATATTCTACAATTTTCAAAAAAAAGTGTTTTTCTCCTATTCTCTTCTTTTTCAAGTAGTAATAATGTAAGTTTTTTTTATTGAATAGTACATGTTAAATAAGACAAAAACTAGTCCATAACAACTTTTGGAATAGGACCAAAATTTGTTTGAAAATTATAGAATATAGGACACTATTATACTTGAAAAAAAATCATATGTTTTATCCAACTTTCTTTTTAAATCAATTGATTTTTTTCAAATCAATTGATTCATCCAACTAGATGGCATAAAATAAAGAATTTTTTTATTTTTTCGACGAGCTGATATTCGATATCATTAGCAATACAAAGAATTCGTTTATGAATAGTGTCATCAGACATGGGGATATTTTTTATTTTTGAGACGTGTTCATTGCCGAATAGTTCTGAACATATATCGACCATACAAGGTTTAATTAATTTTTCACCAATATTATATGGCTTTTTTGTCTTAGCATTATGCATAGATGCAATAAAAGAACATTTTAAATACACCTTGTCAACTGTGGTATATGATTTAATATTTTTTTTATTTATCTTTAACTCATCACGTTTTCTTAAAAAAAAATCTGTAGTTTTATTTCTGTATTCATTATGATTTCGAGTTTCGAGATGCTGTATAAGTTTATTTGACTTTAAAGGAGCATTTGCTAGTACAATACCGCAAATAACACATTGTGGCAAATCTAATCCGTTTTCATTTATATAGGTAAACCCATAACTAATATATTTATCAATGTATTTATATATGTAGTTCATCGAAATTTTTACCTTCTTTCTAGACATTTCGTCATTTTTTACTACCACAGGTTTTATGAAAAAAGATGAAAGTGATGTCTGTTTACTCATTATAAAATTATAAATGTTTAAATTTAAGTATGTATACAAAATTATTAGTCGATTTACGAATTATATTATACTAATGCTAACGACTAATCCGCACTGTGTACACAGGTAAGTAGTTGACATTAACCTCACGACCACACGAATAAGTACCATACGACGTTCACAACTTTAATAATTGATTCTAAGAAAAATGCTGGTCAAAAACTTATCAAATACTACTACTTATAGCTATAAATGTACTTTATCGGTTGACATTAACGGAAACGAATAAATTTGATAAGGTTCTTTGTACCAATTGTCAATATTGTGAATTTACGAAAACGGTTTCATCTATTATTTATAAGACTTTAAATAAAATTATTATACCAACGTTTTACATTTTAAATTATTGGCGGCCCAAAATTGGGATAGGGTCGCGACTCTATGGTTAAAAACCGCTGCTATAGTCCCAGGTTGTTCTTTTCGGGTTCCTATAGTACTACGTTTCAACTTTGTTAATTTCCAAAGAGAATCGTATGTGACTATAATCATAAAGAGAAGATTCGGAGGACACTTTCCACTCTTTATCTTTTGAAGTAATCCTTTTGAACAAACTGTCAGATCAATGACTTTCTGCCTGTTCCTGATTACAAGAGTAGGTTCGCTACTTCTATTCAATATACTGAGGTCTGTATTCAGTAATAGATCTATTATTACCTCTCCTCTTTGGTTGATGTTACT